GCTCAGAACCTGGAGCCTACTTTAGATTCTGTGCCTCCCTCTCTCTCTGCCCCTTCCCCCATCTCGAAAATAAGTAAACATTAAAAACATTTTTTTAAAGAAAGGAAGAAATTAAATAAAAAACTTTTGAAAAACAGAAAATGCACCAGGCCCAAATGAACCCCCTGGGTTCACTGGTGGGTGAGAAGAAAGTATACAAATTCTCCACAATCTTGTCCAGAAATTAGAAGCAGAGGGAATAACTCCTAATTCATTCTATGAAACCAACATCACCCTAATACCAAAACCAGACATTATAAAAAAAGAAAATTAGAGACCAACATTTTTATGAATAGAGATGCAAAAATCCTCAACAAAATATTAGCAAGTTGAAGCCAACAATGTATATAAAGAATTACATGCCATGACCAAGTGAGACTTATTCCACATATATAAGGCTTGTTCAACATTCAAAAATGAATTAATATGATCCATTACATCAGCAGATTAAGGAAAAATCACATGATTATAGCAATACATGCAGAAAAAGTATTTGACTAAATCTAACACCCATTAACGATAAAAAAAATCTCAGAAAAAGGAATAGAGGAAACTTCTCAATTTGATAAAGAACATCTACAAAAAAACTACAGCTAACATCATACATAATGATGAGAAACTAGATGCTTTCCCACCAAGATAAGGAACAAGGCAAGGACACACCCTGTTGGTTTACAACCTGGCCCTTTTACACAGAGGGCAAGGAGAGACTGCAAAAGAGGCAGACTATTCCAGATTGGTAGGTGGCAGTTTCAGTAAGCAGGGGAACTTACTTATGAGGCTTGTCTTGGGCAACCACAAGAGAAGTAGATCTCTGCACCTGCCAGCCAGAATCTTAAAAGTTATATAAAGGCCTTAACTGGGTTCCGTCATGTATACCATCCAGATGGTCTCCACAGCACATTACTATGTGAAGGCTGTGTCCTTGGGCAGCTTCTAGCACAGGGAAGGCAAATGGCACACACATTCCAAATATGGGGGAGGTAGTAAAGGAGCCCCTGATTTCCCAGGCCCAGCTTGCAGGTCAACTGGCAGTCATGTCCTCCCAATAACCTCTGCCAACATCCCTTCTAACACCACCCTTTTTCAACATCATACTGGAAGTCCTAGAGAATGCAGTAAGACACAAGAAACGGAAATAAAAATGTATGCAGATTGGAAAGGAAGAAATACAAGTTTCTTTGTTCACAGATTACAATATTGAAAATCTGAATTAATTGGCCAAAAAAAAAACCCTCCCAGAACTAATAAGTGATTATAGTAAAGTTGTAGATACAAAGTTAATATACAAAAGTCAATTGCTTTTTTATATAACAGCAACGAGCAATTGGAATCGGAAATTAAAGTCATATTACCATTTACATTAGCACGCCCCAAAATGGAATATTAGATATAAATTTAACCAAATATGTGAAAAACCTATACAAGGAAAACTTTGGTGAAATAAGTCAAAGAAGAACTTAAAAAATGGAGAGATATTCCATGTTCATGAATAGGAAGATTCAGTATTGTCAAGATGTCAGTTTTTCCCAACTTAATCTATAGATTCCACACAACCCCAAAGCAAATCCCATCAAGTTATTTTGTGGATATTGGCAAACTCATTCCAAAGTTTATATGGAGAGACAAAAGACCCAGAATAGCTAATGCACTACTGAAATTGGAGAACAAACTTGGAAGACTGACACTGCTCAACTTCAAGACTTACTATAACGATGCAGTAGTGATATAGACAGAAGAATAGACAAAAAGATCAATGGAACAGAAAAGAGTGCCCAGAAATAGACCCACACAAATATAATCAACTGATCTCTGCAAAGGAACAAAGATAATACAAAGGAGAAAAGACAGACTTCAGAAAATGGTGCTGGAACAATTGGACATCCACATATAAAAAAAATTAATCTGGGCACAGACCTTTCATAGAAATTAACTGAAAATGGGCCTTAGACCTACATGTAAAACACAAAACTATAAAACTGCTAGAATATAACACAGAAGAAAACCTAGATGACTTTGGGTTGGTGATGACTTTTTAGATACAACACCAAAGGCACAGTCTGTGAAAGAAAGAATTGGTAGGCTAGACTTTATTAAAATTTAAAACTTCTGCTCTGCAAAAGACATTGTCAAGAGACTGAGAAGACAAACCATAGACTGGGAGAAAATATTCACAAAAGACATAGCTGATGAAGGACCATTATCTAAAAGAAACAAAGAACTCTTAAAACTCAACAATAAAAAATGAACAAACTGATTTTAAAATGAGCAAAAGATTGGAACAGACACTTCGCCAAAGAAGACGTATGGACGGCAAATAAGCATATAAAAAGCTGCTCATTATCATATGTCATTAGGGAATTGCAAATTAAAGCAAGAGTGAGATACTATTACACACCTATTAGAATGGCCAAAATTCAGAACACAGACAACACCAAATGCTGGTGAGGACATGGAACAACAGTAACTCTCATTCATTGATGATAGGAATGTAAAACGATGCATCCACTTTAGAAGACAATTTAGCCACTTCTTTTTAAAATTAATCATACTCTTACCATAAGATCCAGCCGTTGTGCTCCTTGGTGTTTACCCAAATGGGTTGAAAACATGTCCACACAGAAACTTGTGTGGAGTTGTTATGGCACCTGTTTTAATCCATTCATGCTGCTATAACAGAATACCATAGCTTGGGTGGGTCACAACAGAAATTTATTTCTCACAGTTTTGGAGGCTGGGAAGCGCAAGATCAAGACACCAGCATATCTGGTATCTAGTGAGGGTCCACTTGCTGGTTCCCAGAGAGTCAGTCACCTTCTTCTTGTGTCCTCACACGGATGAAGAGGTGAAGGAGCTCTAACTCATTCATTATGGCTCCACCCTAATTACCTAATCACCTCACAAGGCCTCACAAAAAACCAAATACCATCACTTTGGGGATTAGGTTTCAACATATGAATGCGGGGGTGGGGGGCAGGGGGGTGGCGGGCAGGACACAAACATTCAGTCTATAGCAGCAGCAGCTGTATTTGTAATTGCCAAGACCTGGAAGCAACCAAGATGTCCTTGAATAGGTGAACAGGTAAACTGTGGTACATCCAGACAATGGAATATTGTCCAATGTTAAAAAAAAAAAAAAAATGAGCTATCAAGTCCTGAAAAGACATGAGAGTTTCTTAATTGCATATCACTAAGTGAAAGAGGTCAAACTGAAAAGGCTACCTGCTTTAAGATTGCAACGATCTGACATTCTGGAAAAGGTAAAACTATGGACCCACTAAAAAGATTAATGGTTGCCAGGGGCTGGGGAGAGGTAGGGATGAATTGGAGGAGAACAGAGGATTTAAGGGCTTCAAAACTATTCTTTATGACACCTTAATAATGGTGGGTACATATCATTATAGATTTGTCAAAACCCGTAGATTGTACGACACCAAGAGGGAAGTCTGATGTAATCCATGGACTTTGTGATAATGATTTGTTAATACAAGTTCCTCAGTTGTAATGCATGTACCACTCTGCTGGGATATGGATAGTAGGCGAGGCTGTGCATATATGGGGACAGGGGGTAGTTGGGCACTCCCGTACTTTTGGCTTAATTTTGCTGTAAATCTAAAACTGCTTGAAAAAAATATAGTCTATTTAAAACAAACAACAGAAATGCTTTGTATGGGAAAATACTATGTACACATTACTGCTCAAACAGGCAGGTGCTATACTACTTTGGGGGCACAGCTTGGCATTTACAGTGAGATGCTTAGAAACAGAACAGCTTTTGGAGCTGTTTTTTTTCTTCTCTACATAGAGTTAGTGTGCTAGAGGCCAAGGTTAACACCTACTTGACTGTGGCAGTCAGCTTTCAAGCCTTTCTTCCCTCGGCCCTAATGTGCAGGTATGCAAATGCGTGAGGGAGAGGTAAACTTCAAGCTTTGTTAACTAACTCCCTATACAGTAGTTAATTGCAGAACTGGCCTCCAGTCCCTTCCCCTCTCTGGGCCTCAGTTTCCCTGCTTAAAAGGAAAGCAGTTTTAGATGTTTTCTAAAACACTTTCCAGCTCTGAGCTTCTAGGATTCTTCTTTAATTTTTCCAGTAGGCCATGCTGTTTCTGGCTTCTAGCTCTTTGGACATGTGGTTCCTTCCACTAGGACCAATGTCACCATTTGCCTGGCTTATGGCTTGCTGTTCTGCCTTTCTGGTTGCAGCATAGATATCACTTTGGGAGACGTCATCATGACCTCTCTAAACAGGATTGACTGCCCTCTTCCAGGCTTCCAGACCGCCCCCCCCCATCTTCTGTTTCTGTACTTAATATGCTAAATGATAACTTCTTGCTTACTTGTCTCTTCTCCACTCTAGACTGCCACCCTACTGAGTGCAGAGTGTCATTGTTACATCACACACACACACACACACACACACACAAGTCCAGGTTTTCTTGGGGATAACCCAGCTCTGTCTCTGCCTGGGGAGTTTCCAGGCCCAAAATCCTCTGGGGAGGCTATGCCTCCAGAAACATTCAACCACCAAGTAAGAAGCTGTGAGTGGGAAAAACCTCTTTCATTAGTAAAGGAACCATTTACATTATTCAAAGAACAATTAGTGTTAGGACTTACTCACTTGCAACAGAGCCTTTCTAAAGGAACACAGAGTCCCTTGAAGTGTAATCCTTTTAAGTATTGGTTTTTAAAAATGTATCAGAGGGAGGATTTAAAATCTGAAGTCTCCCAATCCAAGGAGACACCAACAAGGATCTCTCAAAGGTTAAGGCAAAGGATCAGAAATGATAATAATTAGAAGAGACCTTTGAGCACTCGCTTTGGCAGACACCTTCCGTCCCAGCACCTTCCTGCTGTCCCGGGTTGGCTACGTCCGCCCTGCACCTTTGTTCAGCTCCGCCCATTACCGCCTGGCTGTGGCCTCTCTGCCCACCGGCCCCAGAGCCAGCTCTGGCTGTGCCAGGATGGGGCTGCCCTGGGTAGGGCTGTGGCTGAGGAGGCTCTGGGTCCTCTTGCAGGTGGCCCTGCATGTGGCTGTGGGCAAAGTGTGCCTGATACTCTTTCCCACAAGAGTCAAGCAACACATCATGGCCATGAACCGGAAGAACCCCCACTTTTCCTACGACAACTGGGCCCCGACCCTGTATGGCATGCAGTATTTCCGGTTTGTCCTGAAGGTCCGATGGCAACGACTCGAGGACAGGACTGAGCCAGGAGGTCTGGCTCCCAACTGCCCTGTGGTCCGGCTCTCGGGACAGCAGTGCAGCATCTGGGACTTCATGCAAGGTCAGGAGACTGCTCCAGGCTTGAGACGTGCTTGGAGAGGGGGAACCAGAGGTGGGTGGGGAAGTGGGAAAGTCATGAATTCTCTTCTGGCTGCTCCTTTTTTTGGCTTCTTGTCTTCTTCTTACTTCCTGCAACTAGGACTTCTAGATCCTGTTCTTCTGAGGGGCATTACCACCTTCCCAGGCTCTTAACCCACAAACCAGCTACACTGGCCTTCCGCTCCTTCCACATGCTCTTTATTTTTTGTTGTTGTTTATTCGTTTTTCAGAGGTAGGGGAAGGGCAGATTTAGAGGGAGACAGAGAATCTGAAGTAGGCTCCGTGCTGTCAGCACAGAGCCCAACGTGGGGGTCGAACCCACAAAGCCATGAACCATGAGATCATGACCTGAGCCAAAGTCAGATGCTCAACCGACCGAGCCACCCAGGCACCCCTTCTACACACTCTTAGGCTCTTAGAGTCACTCTGCCTGGTCATCTCCTTCAGACTTGCTCAGTGACACTTCCTGCAGCAAGCCAGCCCTGGCTCCCACGGCTAGGTGACCTCCTCTTCCATGCCGGACGTCCTGGACTTTTCTTTACTGCACCTGACCTGGTAGGTAGTTCTGCGCCGCCCCCGCTAGCCTGCACACTCCATGCAGGTGGAGCCTGCAATCTAACCCACTTTGCACCCTGGTGGCTGCTGCTGGCCCTTGATAGGCACCAGTAAATATATGTTGAAGCTCCCACTCTCCCTCTCCTGTGTATCTCAGCTCTATCGATCTGGGGTCTAGCAGACCTCTTTTTTTGTCCTCCTACAAGGCCTTCCTCCTCCTCCCCCTCTTGCCCTCCCTCCCCACCCAACTTGTGACTGGCTGCGAGACCACCCCTCCACAAGCGCATCCTCAGCTCACCAGCGTCCTCCGCTGCCCTCCGCACTTGGAACGAAGCCCGGGCCCCGCCTCGTGCTCAAGGTCCTCCCTGAGCCAACTCCCGCCTCCCTCTCACGCGCGGGCCACCACTCATGCTCTGGCCTCCAGACCAGTCCCGGGCCTTGCACATCCCTTGTGCTTTTCCTTCTCTGCCTTGCTGATGTTGTTGGCTCTTCTCCTCTATTACAGTCCAAGCCCCTCATCAGCGGGGGGCCTGCTCAGGCCAGCTCAGATCCCCACAGCTGGGCGTGGGCTCTCTCTCCTGGACTCGGGGCTGTGCACCTGCACCTCTCCTCAGACACTGAGTCTGTGCCCCAGCATCTGGCTGCCTAACGGGGAGCCTCATGACAGCACTGTGTCTAATCCGTCTCTGAATTCCCAGGACCTAGAACCAGCGGATCGAGTAGAGAAGGTCCCTGAGGCGGGTGGCTAATCTAGTGTTTCTCAAAGCATGTTTTTGGAGGTCAAATCCCACAGATACGCTTTACTACCTCAAGTTCCCTGACTGAAGCAGTTTGAGAAACCCTGCACACCATCCCCTCCTCCTGGAAATTCGTAAAGCCCGTGAATATTTTATTTTATTTTATTTTATTTTATTTTATTTTATTTTATTTTTAATGTTTTATTTATTTCTAGGAGAGAGAGAGAGAGAGAGAGAGAGAGAGAGAGACAGCGTGAGCAGGGGAGGGTCAGAGAGAGAGGGAGTCACAGACTGAAACAGGCTCCAGGCTCTGAGCTGGCAGTCAGCACAGAGCCCGACGCGGGGCTCGAACCCATGAACCACGAGATCCTGACCTAAGCGAAAGTCCGACGCTTAACCGACTAAGCCACCCAGGCGCCCCAAGCCCGTGAATATTTTAAAAGCTCTGAGAAGCCCTGAAGCTTCAAAACAAAACTTGGGGGGAAAAAAGAAAACCTGACAAAGCACTGACTGATTTCCTCACACACACAACCCCCAGCTCTCCCCCCTGAGGAAATGCCTGTCATCTTCACACAAGATCCAAAGAACACCCTTTGGGAAAAGTTGACCTAATCCAGTCCTCTCACTTTAAAAGGGAAATGAAGAGCACGGAGAGAGGCAAAGGCAACAGAGCCAGTGGGTGACCAAGTCAGACCCAGAATCTGGGCTTCTTCATCTCATATCTTTCAGTATCATTCACAAGCGCCTCCTCTGTGCCCAGCCCTCAGCTAGACGCCAGGGACTCAGAGTTAGGTCAGAGCTTGCTCCTTCACTCAAAAAGGTTGAAGTTATGGTTTCACAGCATAGATGGGCATAGTAAACGAAGCCTCACAGCTCTGTGAGGTGGGGGAGGCTGCAAAGGTATAAAGTTCGCCCGCAGGGCTTGGAACACTTTCTGGAGGAGGTGGCTTTGGAACTAGGCCTTGAAAAATGAGTAAGATTTTTGTAGCATGTTAAGGGAAAAGCGTTTCAAGCCGAGCAACAGGCCACAGATTCTTGCTCATGACTTTAAACTGCGGTGCACAAATGACCTCTTTTTATCCAGCATTTTGCTAAGGGACCACTGATCATAAGAATCCTGAGAATAACAGCTAACATTTATTGAGTGTCCACTATGTGCCAGGCACTGAGCTAGAAGCAGGCCAATTTGATGAATGTCAATCATCTACTGACCAGTTCCCTGAAAGCCACCTTGCTTCATGGCCAGTTCAACGCACTCGCTTCTTTTAACTGTTGACTTTCAGCGGACCAGATTACATGTTAAAGACTGTTCTATTTGCCTCTGCTCCCTGCTATTGCACCTGAGACCGAAGAATGGAGAGAGAAGGATACCAAGAGACAAAAGAAAACTCTGTTTATAAAAGGAGTTGGCTTTCAGCACATGGACCCAGAAATAATGGTACTGAGTGGTCCTGAAATAATAGATACGGTGATACAGAAGTCAACACAACTGGTATGTGCCCTGCAAAATCTCATAACCCAGAGGGAGAGATGGTGTAGTGAGAGAGGTAAGCAGGGGGTTCTGGAAGAAGTGGGGGTGGGGTAGGAAGGTGGTCAGAGGAAGGCTTCCTGGAGAAGAGGATGGTGAGCCAATTGTCTATGGACAGCGAAGCCTTGGAGTGTGTGGGGAGTAGGGGAGTGGAGGGCAGAGCAGGACAGAGGGGAGGAAGGAGCTGCAGAGATCCAAGATGTGAAGGAGCGTCAGTTTGGCAGAAGTGGGGCTGTGGGAGGCGTGAAGTGGTGAAGGATGAGGCTGGAGACGTCATCAGGGACCAGCACTTAAGGGACCTTATGTGTCTTACTGAGGAGAGAAGACTTCATCCTGAAGGTATTGGTGACTTCTGGAAGGATTTTCAAGCAGGATGTTAACATGATCACTTCTGCTTAATAGAAAGATATCCTTTAACTGGTTTGGAAACCCACCAGACCACTAAAAATCTCTGATGTATGCTTTAGGTATAAATCTGAGCTCATTTCCAGACACAGACTGGAAGAGCTAGAAGACTCTATGGATAATCTAAAGGAGTTCTTTCATTTTTTTCAGATGCAAAGGCCCAGAGAGGTAAATTACTTGCTCAGAGTCATATAGCAAGTTCTTGTAGAGCTTGAATTAGAACTTGTGCTTTCCGACTCTCAGCTACTGTGCTTTTTGTTGTTGGATAAGACAACAGAGGCTCAGAGAAATTCCCAGCCACCTCCTGTTGTCTGCATGTACATGCACATGTACCCACATCACACACACACACACACACACACACACACACACACAGCAAAACAGTGATGAACTGGTGTGTTGTAGTAGAAGGCAATGCTAGGTATTTTATTGTCTAGGTATTTGGGAGTTAATATGGAATTGTATTTATTTCAGCCCCTGTTTCCAATCCTCTAAAATCTCTCCAAGTGTACTTATGAGGTGTCATCTAGCAAATATAAATGGGCTTTCTCTGCTGAAAGAGCCTGGTATGGGGGTTAATTTACTGGCATGGAGGTTATGATGGGGGGTTCAAGTCCAGCTGCAACAGAGCTGTTTTCTCATTTACACAGACAAGCTGGACTTGACAGTACTTGGCCGACATCTGAAATGGTGTTCTCTGCACCGTGGCTTGTGCACACAGGCAGAGTGCCAGCCCCCCGTACCGCTACCCCCTTGCACCCATCCTTCCTCTCTGCTACCACGAAAGTGAGGAACTAAGTTTAAACTTTGCCCTCAATACTGATCACTGCACCCAACCCCACTATAAATAATTAAACAAATGTCTCTCTGTCTCTTCCAATGGCCTAATCAGTGTTGAATTTTGTTCCAATTAAAAACAAAATTCCAGACAGCTAATATTTAGCACTGGTCCTGACCTTAAGTCTTTTGGGTTCTTATCTAAAGCATGACTCTCTGAGGTCATTGGAGGCCAGTGGCTGACCACTTGGCCTTGACTTGCCTCTGAGGCTGCCCTGATGAGGCCTGGGCAACCCTGTCACGTGGATGAGGACTTGTGTAATCAACCAACAGGGACTGAGGCCCACTCAGTGCCCCGTAGGGCCTCCTAAGAGAAAATCTGTGAGCCAAGGGCAAGGAGTGCTTTGTATCTCCTGGCCAGCTTTCTCCTCGGGTACTGAAAATGAGGACTATATAAGCAATTGTTTCTGTCTTTCAGTCCAATATTAGTTCAGTTATAATGAATGCATGGGACCTCAGGACTGGTTTATTTGTCTTCACTAGTTACCTCCTGCTCTGTGCCTCCCAGAAAGGCCTGATTTTTTTTTATACTTTACTGTATGTGTAAGCTGCTTCAAACCCATTGCACAGTAAGGTAAGGATATAACTAATGGAATGAAGCAAGTTTATCGGCAAGTTAAAATGCCCTCTGTTCCCCTCCATCAGCAAGTTCTATCTTTCGCCTTCTCCGCTGCCCACATACTCGCCCGGGCTCCCATGGTCCCTTACATACATTTCTCTGACACCCCCTAACTGGATCCTGCCCACTTCCATTCCCATCATCAGGCCTTTCTCCAAAGAGTGATGTCCAAGTGTAAATCCGATTGTGTGTCATTATATACCTCTACCTAACAGTCAAGGTTCTGGCTTGCAAGCCACAGGAACTCACTCGGGTTTTCTTAGGCACACACATACGTGTACAAAAGAACATATTAATCAGGTGTTGCAAGATTTCTGGAATCAACTATAGCTGGAGCCCTGGGCCTGGACTGTCTTTTAGCATCAGCAGTCAGGCCAAGATGCTGCTGTCTCTGTGATTGCCTTGAGAACCAACCCCCTGTCCCCAGGACCCCACCGTCCTGACAGGGGCACCACCACTGGGCCATGGATGAATTCTGCCATCTCAGTGGATCCATAATCAAAGAGCTATGTGGGAGGGTCCAATCAGCCTGGCCTCGGTCACTGCTTTGGCTGCTCAGGACAGAGGACAGACCTGGCCCCTCTGTCCTCCACAGAGGCAAACTCTCCCATGAATAGTGTACAAAATAGGAAATTCCAGCCAGGAAGGAGGCTTGGGAGCTGGGCAGCCAAAATTGCAACAAATATCCACCATCCTTGTTTTATATCTCCATGATGTCCCATTGTACCTGGAATAAAATCCAGATTTTTCACCAAGGCATAGGACAGCCTGCCTCCCCTGGCCCATACCTACCTCTGCAGTCCTGCCTCTCGTTACCCCCCACCTCCTCCGCAGGCCTGGCTCTGGTCACAGTGACCTCGCAGGTCCTTGAAGACACCAAGCTGTCTCCTGCCTCAGGGCCTTTGTACATGATAGAGTCCCTTTGTCTGGAATGCCCTTCTTCTCCCTTTGCCCATGGCTTGCTCTTTCCTAGCCTTCATTTCGCAGGTCAAATGGCATCTCCTCAGAGGCCTTTCCCGCCCCACCTGTCTAAAGTAGGTCACTCCTTTACAGTCTCTTTCGTAACACTTATCGCAAGTTGAAATTACCACATTTATGTGTTTACTTGGTTTTTTGCCATTAAATAGACCTCAAATTGCATGCAGGCAGGGGCCTGCTGGCCTTGTTCTCTGCTGCATCCGTGGTGTGTGGCAGAGAGCCTTGCACATGACGTCAGAACAGCTTGCTTCTAGGTGGCATGAGAGCGTGCTTGGGGACGTGAGGATGAAGAAGGAACAGGCCTGGCCCACAAGGGGCAACAAGCAGCCTGGGGGACACAGACACGTCACAGTGTGCAGCCTGTGTGCTTTTACAGATATGAGGGAAGGGCTCAACAGTGTCAGCTCGAGCCACAGGTAAGCACCAGGTGCTGGCAGCTCCCCAGAGTTACCCCCGATCTAAGGTGGGAGGGTTGCGTAAGGCCCCCACCCGGGCCTGGCTTTGCAGGTCACACAGGGTTCCACATTTGGGAGGGCCCCGTGCTTGGGGTTCACCGTCTTACAGCAGCTGTGTTGAAATCCTGAATCATTTTATCTTTGAAGCTGCATTTTATAAGTGAGGCCTAATGGGACAGTCCCCGCGGCAGGGGACTTGGAGGCTCAGCTCCTGCAGGACCCTCCCTCCCTCAGCCCCCTTGCTCTCTGGGACATGTTCTCCACGACCCACTCTTCCCACCTTGGACACAGGGCTTGTCCTGCCTCCTTCCCAGTGCTATCCAGTGACTGCTGCCACCTTCAACCCCAGAGGGCCTGGACGCAGACACGGGGAAGGTTGGGGCCAGCTGTACGCATCCTGCCGCATCTCGTGGTCGGGCGTGGAGGCGGCCGTCCCCAACCTGGGCTGACAGTGCCTTGTGCAGTTTGCCAAGTGTGGGGAGTAAAGTGGGGCAGAAGCCTCTTGCCCACCTCCTGTCCCCCATCAAGGAGCCTGGCATGTCCCTGAATGGAGGTGGTTATATGCTGTGGGGTAGGAGGTGGGCATGGGGGAAGAGTAAATGAAGGGCATGGGGGAAGAGCTCAATTTCTGCACTCCTAGCGGAGGCATGGTGTGGGGATCTCGTGCTACAGGAAGAGGAACACTGGCAGCCACTGGCCACACACACGGACATGAGCACTGAGTCTGGGGGCTCCTGGGTGACTGTGAGGGTCTGCACAGTCCATGAATATCCCTCTGTCCGTGGGAGCATGACATTAAGCGCTAGCTAAAAAATACCATGCCAGTGCAGGAGAGAGATCATGGCAGAAAATCTTTTTATCTTAGTATACTTTGGGGCACTCCCCCTCCCCACTTTGTAAACAAGGGGCTCAGCATTTTCATTTTGTCCAAGGCCAGCAAATTATGTAGCCAGTCTCGTCCTCACCCTTCCTTCCCCTCGGTGGCATCCCCTTTGCTGTTCCTCCCCACTTCATAGCTCAGGAATCAGACAGCTGATAACAACAGCTTACATTTATTAAGTACCTACTATAAGCCAGGCACCATTTTAAGCCCTTATCTGTACTACCTTCTTCAATCCTCATAATGATCCTATAAGGTAAGCATTATTATTATGTCTATCTGTGAATGAGGAGACAGTGGCTTTGAATGAAAAGAGTACTAAATTAAGAGTCTAGAAGCCAGAGTATTAATTTTAATGCCACCACTGACCTGCTGTGTGGCCTGGAGCAAGTCTATAAACAAGGGAAAAATTTGCCTACCTCGCAGTATACGAACCTTATCGCATGAGAAAACAGATGCGTGCCTGCCTTATTAACTGCAGGAGAGGGACTCTATCATTATTTTAATGACCACCTAGTGGCTGCAAGTGGTCCACTGAGGCCCCTTGATAAAATCGCTTCATTGTGGAGAGGCGTAAACTGGCTCCAGCCTCTGTTAAGTCTTGCCCTGTAGGCGGCAGACCCCAACTGTGGTCTGGCTCCATCTCTGAGGGAAAATAAAGGTGGTAACAGAATATGGGTGCCTGGATGGCTCTGTTGGTTAAGCGTCTGACTCTCTTGATTTTGGCTCAGGTCGTGCTCTCACAGTTTGTGGTTTCAAGCCCCACATCGGGCTCTGCAGTGACAGTGTGGAGCCTGCTCGGGATTCGCTCCCCCTCCCTCTCTCTCCGCCTCTCCCCTGTTCTCGTTCTCTCTCTCTCCCTCTCTCTCAAAATAAATATAAACATCAAATTGTTTTAATGGTGGTAACAGAAGTGAGGGCAGGAGTAAAGATGGTACTGGCATATCAATGCTGTGTGTAGATGATCCGTTGTTGATGGTTCCGTTCCTGTTTCAGGCAACAGACCGTTGGTGCTGAATTTTGGAAGTTGTACCTGACCTTCATTTCTTTTCAAATTTGACCAGTTCAAGAGACTTATTGAAGACTTTTGCTCCATAGCAGACTTTCTCATCATCTACATCGAAGAAGCACACGCATCAGGTAGAGACTCCCTGCCCTTACCTCTTCCTACCGTCTCTTTTTTCTCTCCTGTTTCCTGCAGGCCCTGACTCAGGGGTGGGAGGTGGGGAGGAAGAGGAGGAGTGAGGGAAAGAGCCCCACTGTTCACTGAGCACCTGCCAGTTCAGTCCCTGCTGGGTTTACCCACCACCACTAACTCCGCCGCCTGTGCCTTCAACCAGGCACACCTGGTTGGACGGGTCTAAGATGGAGAGCACCCACCATTTTGAATGGATAAACAAGGAAATCAAGGGAGAGAAGCTAATAGGAGGAATTTAGACCGGAATGACTGTTCCATAGCTACTTGTGAAATCCAGCCTAAGTTTCTCGAAGCTCAAAGGGACACTGGTTCATCTCAGCCAATGGTTCCCAAGCTTTAGTGAGCATTAGAGGCACGTGGAAGGCTTGTTAAAACAGACTGCTAGAGCCCACCCCAGAGTTTATCAGTTAGATCTGGGGTGGGGCCTGAGAATTTGAATTTTTGACAAGCCCCTGGTGATACTGAAGGTGCTGGTCTGGGGACCACACTTTGAGAACCACTACTCCAAGGCTAACTTTCATCTGGGGGCAGCCATTCTTTCTTCAGCCCCTAACAGGGGGTCACACATCTTCATTACTTCACGTTTAATCTCGTTCCTTTCCTGGGCAGCTCTGTCCGGGAGAGCTCTCCCGGAAATTCCAAAGCTAGTGGTCTAAGCCCTTTGAACTTTACAAAATGGTCAGACACATCCCCTGTCCCCCGATTTTCAAGGGGATTGAACCTGTGAGTGTGGCCCAACTCTCAAACCCAAAGACTGAAGAAGGCAAGTGGGACAAGTGTCATTTACTCGCCCATCTCCCACATGATTCGTCTGTCTCCCAGCACCTGGCAGAGCGCATGTCGCAGGATCAGAGCTCAGCAAAAGTTGGGTGAATGAGTGTACTTAGGCCAGTATTAGCCTTGCTGGTTTATCCCTGTGCTGTCAAGTGCAGGTTGCTCTGAATTATCAGCGAACTTGGTCCAGAAGTGCTTTCTCCAATATGGTCCCTGGATCCCTGATGTCAGAGCTCTGTGGGTTGCTTGTTAAAAATGGATATTCCAGGGGCGCCTGGGTGGCTTAGTTGGCTAAGAGTCTGACTTCGGCTCAGGTCATGATCTCGCGGTTCGTGGGTTCAAGACCCACGTCGGGCTCTGTGCTGACAGCTCAGAGACAGGAGCCTGCCTCGGATTCTGTGTCTCCTGCTCTCTCTGCCCCTCCCTGCCCCTCCCCTGCTCATGTTCTCTCTCTCTCTTTCTCTCTCTCTCTCTCTCTCAAAAATAAATAAACCTCAAAAAAAAATTTTTTAAGGATATTCCAGGACCCCACCCCAGGCCCACTGCATCCTGATTTATTGCACCCAAAGGTTTGAGAACTTCTTTCAACTTAATACTATGTTCACTTAACTGGCAGCTTCTGTTCTCATTAAGGGTTTGGGGCAACCTGAAATATTAGCACAGGGGAACAGGTACACAGAGGTTCATCACACTGTTCTATTTGTCTGTGCTTTCAAATTTTTCCGTAACGTAATCTAAAGGAGTATAAGTAACAGGAGAGCAAATGGAAGCGCAGTGTGTCTCCGTGTCAAACGCGTCTTTGGAAGAGCAGCGGCCAGGAGTTCCAGGGAGGAATTTGGGTGCCTTCAGGTGCCTGTGGTCTCCATGGCTGAGAGGAGACACTGACCTGATGTCATCACAGCTGACAGTCGAAGCTCAGCCAAAGCTGATTTAAAAAGCTGGGGCAGCACTTGTCAAACTTGACCATGGGCGTCAGCGACCTGGGGACCTTAGCGGGTTCTGGCGCAGCGCTGCTGCAGTGAGCTCCCAGGTGAGGTGGAGGCTGCCGATGCAGGGACCATACTTGTAGTGCCAAGGTCATGGAGGATCCAGCTTTTGTCTCTAGAGGAACAAACTGTAAACTGTGACAAGAAGGGTGGACCGTCACAGAAATTGTTCCTGGTCCTGGTACCTGTCCTGTTTCTCCTGGAGTCAGCCCCAGCAGGTTTGACCCTTCCAGAACCTCAAGTCTTTGAGGAAGGACTTCCTGACCCTGGTCTGACACAGACCGTTCTCTTGCTTCTGTGCTTTGGCACTCCTCGTTCAGGCATTTCTTCCTCCTCCCCATCTCCTTCCCCAGCTGCTAGAATCCTGCCCTGGCTGGTCCAGGGGTCCCTGAAGGATGGACCGCATCGGCCTGAAAGAATGGACACAGACAGCTCGAGTGAACCAGTCTGGACAGTTTATTGATTCTTCAGCAGGCTTATATATGCTTTCTACTTCCTATGTGTTTGTGTCAAGCTTCTGTTCTTATTCTCAGAATGTCTTCCAGGACATTCATCCGTGAGGAAACTTTTGGGTTATTTCCTTGCGTTTCTGCTCTTTTACTTTCAGATTTAATCTCTAATCTTACTATTTCTATGCCTAACAAGCTAAAGGGCTAATTCTGTTTTCTATATTGCTAGTTTCATGTGTTATAGCTGAGATAAGTAGAGCCTATTCTTTAGAGAAATTGAAGCGTGACGGCTTTCTTAGTATCTACCCTTACTGTAACCTTTTACAGGGACATGCTTTCTTTAAAGTGCCTTTAATGATCAACTAACTGCCAAGTCGTAGGGAAATGCCCAGTATGAAAAATAAGCTGATTGAATAGCAGAAGAGATATCAGTAGCTTCGCTTCCAGAGAACCACTGTGCAGTCTTCTCTTGTCGACCCCCTGGGCTGTGTCATCAGGTGGGTGATGAAGTTCGGCTCCTGGCACCCGGCGCACTTGTTTCTGTCAACCAGACAGAAGTGAGTATGGCCTGAACCGCAGAATTAAAGTGCACAGAGCCACTGTCCACCCATCCCGCCAGGTCTGGGGTCTGTGGCCCAAATCAGTTGGCTTCCTTTTCCTCCACACGCCACATGTTTGTCCAGGTAAGTTACAGGGAGGCATGAGGCCTGATGGGAAGAACACGGACTTTGGAGCTTCAGACCGGAGTATGGCTCCTGGCTCCATCACATGCTGGCCACGTGACCGTGGACAGCTTCCCTTCCATGCCCACTTCTGCGACACTGAAATAGGATGACAACAGCAACCTCACACTCACTCGACAATATTTAAGGAATACCTGCTCCTTGCCAGCCCTGGGCTGGGCCCAGAGATATTGAGACAAACGATACACACAGTTCCTGCCTCTCAGGAACTCCCTGTTAGAGCTGGGGAAGCACATCACTGCTCCTCCCCGGGCCTCCATGTTCTCAGCTTCAGGACAAGAACGTGAATCCCGCCTCAGCTCCTGTAAGTGGCTGTTGTGAAGCCCCGAGGAGCTGATTGTTGCACAAGACTGACTGCCTGGACATGAGACCAATGTAGGCTGGTGTTATTGTCATCTACAAAATTTCGATGTCTTGGGGCAGGTAATAATTACCTTAAACTACGGCCAGGCACTTGTATCTTGGTGTGAATTTCTCCTGAGAGCTGGTTTTTCTTGGAGCAAGCTTCCCTTGAAGCCCTGAGGAGGTAGAGCCATTTCTGCTGATAGACTTAATCACCTTATATTACCCGAGGAGGCAGCCATTCCCATAAACACGGGCCATGTGGCTTCCGAAGGAACCCATGACCACATTACCTGGGTCCCAGACTCCCCAGAAATGAGGCAAGTAGAAGGGCAAGGCCAGTAGCACTTTGCGGTTGTTTTTTTTCAACCCGTGGGCCCATTAACTAATGAGTACCACTTCCTGTAAGTAGGCAGAGGGACACCTTGGCAAATGAGGCCAACTGAAAATCCCCTTCTATTTAAAGTTAAGCAGCCTAAAATGCATCTCTAGAGCAAAGTAGCCATATTCTGCGGTACAGAATAAAAACTGGGTTCTTTCCCACCTGTCCACTACTTAGAGCAGACGGGCAGAATAAACCAACATTTTTCAAGCAGCTTCTATTAAGGGGTTTCCATGCAAGTTATGTCATCCAAGCCGTTACACCAGCCCTCTGCAACATAGATTCTAATATTCCCACAGCAGATGGGGAAACTGAGAATTTAAAGAGATTTCAGGGGCACCTGGGTGGCTCAGTTGGTTGAGCATCCAACTTCGGCTCAGGTCATGATCTCATAGCTTGTGAGTTCGAGCCCCACATCAGGCTCTGTGCTGACAGCTCAGCGCATGGAGCCTGCTTTGGATTCTGTCTCCCTCTCTCCCTGCCACCTCACTTGCTCGTGATCTGTCTCTCTCTATATATATCCAAAGTAAATAAACATTTAAAAAAATTTTTTTAAGAGATTTCAAGATCCTGCCCAATATCACACAGCTGAGCATGTCAGGGAAAGCTTCCTAGAGGAGAGGGTGTTAGAGCAGTGGTTCTCAGCTGAGGGTGATTTTGTCCCCCAAGGGGTATTTGGCAATGTCTGGAGACGTTTTTGGTTGTCACAAATTGTCAGAGCCATGCTACTGACATCTAGTGAGCAGAGTGCAAAGATACTGCTCAACATGGGGGCACACTCAGGATGGCAGCCCCCCCCGCCCCCGAACGTCAGTAGTCCCAATGGTGAGAAGCCCTGTGGTAGACGGGAGCCTTTTAATTTTTTTATGTTTATTTTTTTGAAGGAGAGAGAGACTGAGTGGGGGAAGGGCAGAGAAAGAGGGAGACACAGAATCTGAAGCAGGTTCCAGGCTCTGAGCTGTCAGCACAGAGCCTGATGCAGGGCTTGAACTCACGAGCTGTGAGATGATAACCTGAGTGGAAGTTGGACGCTTAACCGACCGAGCCACCCAGGCGCTCCAAGGCGAGCCTTAAAAGGACAGATAGGATCTCAAATGTGGAAGGGATGGTAAGGAAACAGGGAAGAGAGGGGTCGGCATCATTTGAGGAGAAGTCACTTCGGCTAGATGTGGAAAGACCAGGAGCCGTGACTGGAAGTACATGTGGAGAGAGATGGTAAGGATCATTACGTGCTGTGCCAAGGAGCTGGTTCTGTAACTGGTTTGTAGGCAGAGAAAAAAATCTGATTACGTTTTGTGGTAGGAGCGTTGTCAGAGATCTTCAGAGAAGCACCATCAGGAGGCAGGAATACTTCTTAGGAGGGGTTGAAAGTAAGGGTCACTGCCAGGCCTGCAGTTGTACTTGGCTGTGGGTTCACCCTGAGTGGCAGGCACCCCGAGGCTGTCTGAACAGCTAACACCAGCAGCAGTGCCAGAAGTCGTAGGAAAGAGAAGGTCCTGTTCCCCTCACACCGTGGGTGAAGGCAGCACTGTGAAGAGGGTGGAAGTGAGAGGCAGCTTGGGGGTTGTGAGTCAAGGGGTCCCAGGTATTTCACCCACAGGCCGGTCACTGGGGAGCTTGCGATTTATCCTGAGGATGACAGGGAGCCATCAAAAGCCACGGCAGGAGAGTGCCACAGTCAGATTTGCATTTTGGAAAGAACATTCTGGTGTCGGGCAAAAGTGACGTGATAACCCCTATACTACGGAGACCGCTGCTAGGAAAGAACATTCTGGTGGAGAATAATCAGAAGAGGGAGATTGTCTAGACTCTCGTATAGTAGTTCTCAAACTTCAGCGTGTGTTAGAATCATTTGGAAGGCTGTGAAAACAGATCGGTGGGCCCCACTGCCAGTCAGTCTCAGGGTCTTCCTTTAACAAGGTCCTTGTGAGGATCAAATGCACATTCACGTTCAAGACGCAGTGGCCTACTGGACTCTCGCAGGCTGAAGAGCCGAAGTCTGGGAGTCAGGAGCCCTAGGCTTCGTCTTTGGATCTGTCAGTACCTCCCTGTGAGATCTCATGCATCCGCCCATAATAGGAAACTGGGCCAAATTATGGCCAATGGCTCCTCTGTGTGGGACCCTCTGTTACAAAGGGGTGGATGTGGGGATGGGGGTATTTAATCCGTGGGAAATACGTGCCATGCCTGTGAGGCCCACTGCCGGTCCCTCCTTTTGCAGATGGCTGGGCCTTCAAGAACAACGTGAACATCAGGAATCATCGGGATCTCCAGGACCGCCTGCAGGCGGCCCGCTTGCTGCTGGACAGGCACCCCCAGTGCCCCGTGGTGGTGGACACAATGAGGAACCAAAGCAGCCGGCTCTACGCAGCACTGCCCGAGAGGCTCTATGTGCTCCAGGAGGGCAGGATCCTCTACAAGGTGGTGACCAGGGGCAAGAGGCCCAGGAGGGGCGAGGGCGGAGAGGGCTTCGTATCAAGCAGATGTGCATTCAAGTCGTTGCCCAGCCGTTTACTGGGCATGTGACCAGGGGCAAGTCCTTTCCTGTCTCGGAGTTTCCCTTTCCTCTTCTACAAAATGGAGGTTCTGGCCCCCCACCTCACGGGAGGTGAAATAAATAATGGGACTTTCTTGTCCCTAGCATTTGGACTGGAGCCACAGCCTCCTGGCTGCCTTCCGAATCCGGAAGACTGGCCCAGCCCTGGTTCGGTCTGAAGCTGAATGAGAAAATGTAGTTTCCATTTCATAAACAACACTCAGAGAAGGACATTGACTTGCCCAAGGTCACCCTGCACAAGGCTCTGATTTCAGTTCTGAATCCTTTGAATGGGAGAGGCCAGGAGTGGGAGGGTCTGAAGCTGCTCCTCTCAAGGCAAGCCTGAACCTGGGTGAGGGGGTAGGGGAGGGGGTGGTGTAGGAGGGAGAAGAGAGCAAACCCTGTAGTTAAGAGCTGGAAATGCAGAAGCAGGGATTCAAGGAAGGAATTGAGTCCCAGCCTCCTTTCTGGTGATTGTGTCCCGCCTTAGGGCTTCCAGCCTGGCCAGGGTGGGGGATGTAAGCACAGCCTCCAACCACTCGGGCACTGTTGGCCTTCCCTGGGAGGGCAGAAACCGGTTCATAGCTGCCGAAGGGATTTCAAGCCTTGGAGAGCCCATGAAGCCCAGCCGTGTGGATACTCCCCTGCCGGCTGCCAGCCCTGCTTATGCGGGTAAAATGAGCAACAATTTGCAGATCAATCTCCAGGGTGCCAAGGGTCACAGCATAAGAAGTCAGGTTCTTCTGCCTTTCTCCTCCCCAGAGACACGGCTGTGAGATGGCATGATCGAGGCCAGCAGGGTTAGGCCCCGCACAAGTACTGGCAACACGGAAACAATTTGAAGATGGCTCACCCCTTCCTTGGAGGTGCTCACAGTCCGGAGGATGAGGACGACAAGTCGAGTGTCCAGTGTCCCAAGGGCTGTGAGACTCCAGAGCAGGGATCAGCACACCTTTTCAGCAAAGGGCCAGACTGTAAATATTTTTGACTTTGTGGACCAGACAATCCCGGTTACAACCATTCAATCCTGCTGTGCTAGCACAAAAACAGCACAGACAATATGTAACTGGAAGAGTGTGAGGCATCAGGACAGATTTGGCTCTCAGACTGTAAATTTCTCGACCCCTGAGGAAGGGTGGGCTCTTTGGAGGTGGTGACAGTTGCTTGGACCTTGAAGGCTAGGAAGCCAGCCACGTGAGCATGGTGAGTGAAAATCGTGGCAAATATAGGGAAGAAGGTGAGCAAAGGCACTGAGGCATGTTGGCAGGATGTGAATGGAGAGTTGGGGCATTTAGGTGACTGGGGTCTCATTCCGGGCCAAGGAATCCAGCCCCCTTCTTAGGGCAGAGGCGAGCCATGGATGGGTTTTGAGCAGGAGACAGGCATGATTGGATCTGTACTTTAGAAAGATCAGTGGCTATTGGGTGAGGTGTGGACTGGAGGGGGCAGGGACAGAGGACTTCAGATAGTCAGGAAGTGGGGTGCCTGCCCAAGTAGGGGATGCAGAAGCTGAACTAGAGCAAGGGGACAGGAGACGCAGAGGTGGTTCTGATGTGTAGAGAAGATAAGGCCTGTCTGAAGGTCTAATTATGGAAGAACAGCTTATGTGTAAAGACCGGTTTCTCCTTTAGAAACGATTCCCTTTACCCCAGCTGGTTCTCCTCGCACTTCTCTCTCCAGTCTGTCCATTAAATGTGAGTGCCACTCTACACCCTCTCCCTGGGTGATCTCATCTGCTTTATGGTTGCATCTGTCATTGTCTACGCCATCCTGACAACCCCCACGTAGCTATTGCCAGCCCAGTACTCTCAGCTAAGCTCCAGACCTACTAATTCCTATGAGTCGGACATCTGGGAATGCTGATTTGTTTCTCTTACAGGGTAAACCTGGCCCTTGGAACTACCATCCAGAGGAAGTTCGTGCTGTTCTGGAAAAGCTTCACACTTAGTCTGGGCAGATCTCCCAGCCCTAGGTGATCAACAGGAGGGATCCTCAAGTCCTGGCTCTCCCCCCACCCAGCCCATGTGGCTTTTACCTCTTGAGCTGTATCCCCAAGCTGAACCACTAGCTCACATCTGTCTGATCTATCCCAGCAACTGTAATCAGAAAACGAAGCAGCAAGGGTAAAGGCTGTACAAAAGGTCAATGCTGCCCCCACGGCAGAGACCACATTCATTGCACGTGGTCCCCAACTCTAGCCACTCTGATTCCAAGTGGTTAGATACGGCAGTCCTTGTGTGAGGTAAATCCGTCTTACCAAATTTGCCGTTTATGGAATTGATCATCTAAGACACTAAACTGGTTTCTAGAACCAAGCATGGGGAGAACTCCTGTTGTTTAGAGAGAGAGAGAGAGATGAGGAGTTGAGAGCTGTCATTCATTTATGCAGAAGCTCGTCTTTGAAATTGCTTCTCTCATTTCTTTGTGAGTCTCCTGACGGTCATTTGTGTTAGATTACATCACACTAAGGGATAACCATTAGTATTCATCTGTTTTAACTCTGCTTCTTTTCATGTTTGTCTATGACGGCCACAGCCTAAAGTACACACAGCTGTGACCTGACTTGAAAGAAAATGTTTTAAGATGCAGCAAGCTAATACAGAATGATTAAAACATAGCAGGCAATCTGGGACGGCTTCGGTGTGATCTTTTACATTTTCTTTTCCAGTGTGTGTCAGCCTGTTTTATCTTTTTATTTATTTATTTATTTTTTTAAAATGTTTCATCTATTTCTAGGAGAGAGAGAGAGAGACAGCGTGAGCAGGGGAGGGTCAGAGAGAGAGGAAGTCACAGACTGAAACAGGCTCCAGGCTCTGAGCTGGCAGTCAGCACAGAGCCCGATGCGGGGCTCGAACCCACGAACCGCGAGATCATGACCCGAGCGAAAGTCGGACGTTCAACCAACTACGCCACCCGGGCGCCCCTATCTTTTTTTTTTTTTAAATAGTTTATTGTCATGTTGGTTTCCATACAACACCCAGTGCTCATCCCCACAAGTGTGTTTTATCTTTTATTATAGCCCACTGTAATCTGATCTGCAAAAATACCATATGCTGGCAGTGCCTCATTTGGTGGGAAAAACATTCCCTGTGGGTTCTGTATCAAATGTGTCTTTGCCTCATGAACTCTTGCTAAAGAATGTTTCACGTTGGAGGGGCGCCTGGGTGGCTCGGTCCATTAAGTGTCTGCCATCTGATTTTAGCTCAGATCATGATCCCACGGTTCGGTTTGTGGGATCAAGTGCCTAGTCAGGCTCTGTGCCGACAGCATGGGACCTGCTTGGGATTCTCTCTCTCTCCCTCCCTCTCTGCCCCTCCCCCACATGTGCTCTCCCTCTCAAAATACATAAACTTAAAAATAAAAATCGGGCAGAGCCTTCAGTGGCCGTTGCCTTTAAAGAAAAAACAAATTTTGATTCACATTGGGATCAACCTACCTTCTCAACATGACAAAAGAATGCATTTGGGAGACATTTTTCTTTTCTTTTAAAAATTTTTAAATGTTTTATTTATTTTTGAGAGAGAGAAAGAGAGTATGAGCAGGGGAGGAAGACACAGAATGCGAAGCAGGCTCCAAGCTCTGAGCTGTCAGCACAGAGCCCAATGTGGGGCTCGAACCCACGAGCAGTGAGATCATGACCTGAGCCGAAGTCAGACGCCCAACGGACTGAGCCACCCAGGTGCCCTGGGAGACATTTTTCTAACAACGAAAACTAACTCTTGGCTCTGCCTTAGTTGCCACAATGTTAATACCATTAGTGTTGCTATTTCATTCTTTTTCAAAAAAAGTTATCATTAATCATCTACCAGGTACCCATTTTCAGATATGTGAACTCATCTAACCTTAATATATTTCAAAGAAGAGATTATGATCTCATTTTATAGATGAGGAAATCAAGGCTCAGAGAGAAGTAACTTGTGGAAGGTCTCAGAACTAGCAAGTAACACGCAGAGATTCACCCCCCATCTCTAACTTCAAGCCAGAGTCCCGGCTCTGCTCCCCACTAGCCACATGGCATCTTGAACTATAAAACGGGGTATCAGTAGTGCCTGCTGCATATTGGATTCATGAGTAAAGCACTCAGAAAGTGCTACTCTCAGAAAGAGTAAAGCATGGCGCCTGCCTTGGAGAAAATGCCAGGGATGTGTTGGCTATTATTATTGTTTCACAACTGCCTCTTTGGGCCTTTTTAGGAAGTGGGGGAAGGAGGGGAGGCAGGACAGTAGGGACACGGAATGAAAATTTTTCATCCTGCCGAAGCAGTGCTGGCATGAGTTTGTGAGGTCATTCCGAGAATGAGTAGCTGGGGAAACAGCGCGGCTAAGGCACAGCCGAGCACTGTCCTTCCTAAGTGCCAAGTTCCACAAAAGGAGACAGCAGCTAAGACCATGCTCCTCTGAACCACTTCTCGGATGGTCCCCGATTCATGCCTATAAATGCACAGTAAGTCCCAGCTTTCAATAAGTAATAGTGGCTGGAACAGAGGAGGTTTTAGAATGTTAAAATAAACCCCAAGCGTTCCAATTCAATTCTCTTCAGTTTAATGCTTCAGACATTAATTGAGCACGGATTCTTCTTCCCTGGGTGCTAAGAAATGCATACTTGGACGAGGTCCAGCTATCATTATCCAGCAGCTTAACCTCGTGGGGGACTAGGCATACATGGCAATGACCATAACTCAAAGCAAACACGATGGGGACAGCTGAGATAAAGACAAAAGTACAGAGCAATTCCTCGGAGCTGGGTGGGCCTGGAAAGGCCTATCGGAGGTGGGGGCATTTGGGCTTGGTCCTCAAGGGGACCCAGGCCTTCTGTATTCTGCGATGGGAACCTGGAGAACGCGGGAAGGGTAAGGCGTATTAAAGTGGAGAAACCTCGGGGTGCCTGGGTGGCTCAGTCAGCTGAGTGTCTGACTCCTGATTTCAGCTCAGGTCAGGATCCCAGGGTAGTGGGATTGAACCTCACATTGGGCTCCGCATGAATGTGGAGTCTGCTTGGGATATTCTCTCTCCCTCTGCCTCTCTCCCCTGCTAACGCTTGCTCTCTCAAAAAAAAAAAAAAAAAAAAAAAGTCTCAAGTAGTTTTCTCAAGAAGAGCACATGGATCTTGTATTCCCTGAAGTCTTACATGCTTGCAACCGCCCATCTATGGTCTGTAAGCCTGCAGGACACCTGCAGGTGTCTAGAAGTCCTGAGAGGAAAAGTCAGGCCAGCCTAACTGATCACCCCTAGCACTGCTTGAATTGCTTTATTGTGCCCAGAAACCCATCAGACTCTTTCTTTATACTTGAGGTTCAGTAACTTCACCAAGATATAGTCCAGGGGTGAATGTTCTAATATCAAAATGCCTGGAATGCCACTATAGTCTGAATATTCATGTCCCTCCCCAGATTCACATGCTAAATCCTGAAGCACAACATGAGAGTATCAGGGGAGGAATGGAGGGACCCCTTATGGATGAGATTAGCGCTTTTATTAAAGAGGCCCCAGAGAGCCAGCTGTCTCCCTCCACCACGTGAGGACACAAGAAGTCTGCAAACCCAGAAGAGGGCCCTCACCCGACCTTGCTGACACCCTGATCTCAGACTTCCGGGCTCTGGAACTGTAAGAAATAAATTTCTGTTGTCTATAAGCCACCCAGTGTATGGCATTCTTGTTACAGTAGTCTAAGCAACTAAGGCACATACAACCCCCTCTTCTGGTCCTAAGATTTAATTCTTACTATTTTTTAAACTGGTTTTTGCTCAGGTCACGATTTCACAGTTAATGAGTTTAAGCCCCCATTGGGCTGACCATACAGAGCCGGCTTGGGATTCCCTCTCCCTCTCTCTCTCTGCCCCTCCCCTGCTCTCTCGGTCTCTCTCAAAATAAGTAAATAAACTTAAAAAAGAAAGAAAGAAAGAAAAAATTGCATAGTAATAGGTAGAGCCATCCCTGTCAGAGCCAAGGGCAATTCAATCAATGGAGATTGCCTTCCTTTCAAAGCCTGCTTGGGCTATGATGGGGGGGACGGGGGGGGGGGGGGGGGGGGGGCGGGATCTAAGTTGAATTTTAGTGAGAAAAGAGGAATAAGGTACCAGAACCCCTGAAACACAGGACACAGGGTGGCTTGTCCCAGAACACGGGAGAAAAACAACAGGGAAGGAAGACTGAATGTGTTCACGTTGCGGTGGTGTGTGCGGGTGGGAGGCGGCCGGGAGGATGAGAGACGATAATTTTAGGTACCGGAGGCCAGGGAAGGCCTGACTACACTTTGTGTAAGGACCTGAAGTAGCCGAGGAAGCTAGCTGTACAGACACCTCAGGAAAGAGAAGGCAGACTCAAAGGTCTAAATCACATAGCACACACAGCACAATGCGAGGCAGGAGTCAGTGGCGGTGGTGATAAATCCAAATGAGGGATGAGGGGGATGGAGGAAGCCAACTGGGGACAGATGAGACTTTGAAAAGATGATGGGGTTCAGCAATGAGGAGAAAAAAAGATAAAGCCACATATTGTTATAGCTACTGCTTGAAGCCTGGAGAGGGTTTTATAAGGGTGAAATAAGTTTTTAAAGCCCAGGAAAATGCAGGTTAAAGAATGCTGTTTTTAAGTATCATAAAGTGGTATGACAAGCACTAACACTGATAATTTGTTCTCTGCAGCCGCAGAAGGCAGAAACAGAGAAAAAAGGCTTAGAGATCATTTACTAGGCCTGTGCCAAAAAGAGCAATCAGACAAACCCTGGACATCCCTTCCAGAAATCTGTGAGCCTTTCTTACACAAAGAACCACTGACATTTCAGTTTAGGAAGTTGGCCGAAAGAAAATCCTTAGCACTTTATTTTATTGAACATGAACACAATTGCTCTACGTCACCTTCCTTCTCAAAAACCTTAAATGGCTCCAGTGTTAAGGGAAACTATCTGAAAGTATTAAAGGCTCTCTGTGATCTGGCTGTGATATATGGTTTTCGTCTTCTTTGCCCTAGTCAGACTTAAATATTCATCGCTCTCCAAATGCGTGTGATCAAAGAGGACCCATCTTCACATCTCCAATCACACCAGCATTGCTCTTGAAATACCTTTCCTACTCTCCTCCATTTATTTAAAACTTACCTAAGAGTAACTCTGTGCAACAAATCTTGGTAAGTAGTTTAGCAAAAAGTATTAAGAGCCTTAAAACTGTTCCTAACTTCGACCAGTTCCCTCTGGAAAGGAAATCATCTGAGGGGCAGCACAAAGATACCCTCGGTACCATTGTTGATTTTTATTTTTCTATTGTGAAGAATGTCAGGCATACACAAAGATAAAGGGATGGGTACAGTGAAGCCCCCCCCATACATCCACCACCCAGATCTAACAATTTGCCATATTTGTTTCAACTTTTTTCCTTAAAAAAATCCACTTAAGTATTTTAAAGCAAATTCCGGTTATGTCATTTTACCCCTATTTACTTCTATACACCTCTTTGAAAAATATGAGCATTTTCTTGCCTAAGCTTAATGCCAGTAACACACCTAGCAAAATGAACAGTAACACCCAATCTGTAAGTGTATTTCCCCAACTATCTTTAAAATGTCGTATTTTCAGTTGGTTTGCTCAAATCAGATCCAAGTAAGATCCACACATGGCATGAAGTTATTGGGGCTCTCATTCCTTTTTGAATCTAGAGTGGCTCCTCTCCCTTAATTAATTCCCATTTTTCTTCTGTACGTCCATCTCACAGTGGCTGAGAGGCCTGCTACCTGCCATCACCAGGTTCACTTCCAGACCCAGACTGATGAAATAGTTATTGTGTAGAGCATCATTGCTGGTCATTCTGACAGAGAAAGGAAAGAGGTTTGAAGTGTCTTATGCAGGCAATTAAACAGTCAGCCTAGCAATCACCTTCCCCTCATCTCATTACTCACACTTGGTCACATGGCCCTACCCAAACAAAGGTGGCCAAGAAGTATATCTTACCATGCACAGGGAAGGCACAGGTCTGCACATTTCAGTGAGCTACAAAATGGCTTCTAATCCATTTGCATCCTTGTGGTGTCATTTTACTTGTTTTTCCATCCCTTGTATTCCCTGAAAATGGAAGTGAACTCTAGAACTTGATTCAATTTAGACTCAGTGATTCTGGCACGAGGACTTCAGAGGCTGGCCTGTGTGCCTCATGCTGCATCACATCAGGAGTGTGTAACTAGTAGCTTATAGAAGTGATAGCCACTGCCTTCCTCTCCTTCCATCATGTGTGTGTGTGTGCACGTGTGTGCGTGTACATATATATATACACACACACATACATACACTGAGAGAGAGACAGAATGGGAGAGAGAGAGAGGGAGGGAGAGAGATTGATTTTAAGAAGTTGGCTCCTATGCTTATGAAGTTTGGCAAGTCCACAGTCTGTGGGCTTGGTTGACAGTCTGGAGACCCAAGGAAGAGCTGATGTTGTAGTACAAGTCTGAAAGCTGTCCACTGGCAGAATTCCTTTTTGCCTGGGAAAGGTCAGTCTTTGTCCTACTGAGGTCTTCAACTGATTGGATGAGGTCCCCCCACATTATAGAGGGCAACCTGCTTTATGCAAAGTCCACCAATTAAAATGTTGATCTCATCCAAGAACCCCCCCCCCCCCCATAAACATTCAGAATGTTTGAACAAATATCTGGGCATTGTGGCCCAGTCAATACAACACATAAAATTAACTATCACAAAAATACTTCACTAAGATTGTATTGTGAGTTGAACTGTCTCTAAAAAGACATGTTGAAGTCTTTAAAATAAAATTTTTTTTTTTAATTTATTCCTGAGACAGACAGTGTGAATAGGGAAGGAGCAGAGAAAGAGAAAGACAGAGAAGCAGGGTCCAGGCTCTGAGCTGTCAGCACAGAGCCCGATGCAGGGCTCGAACTTGGGAACGGTGAGATCATGACCTGAGCTAAAGCTGGACACTCAACCGACTGAGCCACCCAGGCACCCTGACATGTTGTTGAAGACTTAATCCCTGATTGTGACTTTACTTGAAAATAGTTGCAGATGTAATTAGTTAAGATGAGGTCGTTCTGGGGCGCCTGGGTGGCTTAGTCGGTTAAGCGTCCGACTTCGGCTCGGGTCATGATCTCACAGTTCATGGGTTTGAGCCCCATGTCAGGCTCTGTGCTGACAGCCATCTCAGAGCCTGGAGCCTGTTTCAGATTCTGTGTCTCCCTCTCTCTCTGACCCTCCCGGCTCATGCTGTCTCTCTCTCTCTCTCAGAAATACATAAAACTTTAAAAAAAAAAAAAAAAAAAAAAGATGAGGTCCTACTGGAGTAGGATGGGCCCTAATTCAATATGACTCATGTCCTCATAAGAAGAGAAGATACACAGAAACAGATCTGCCCAGGGGGAAGATGTGAAGACACACAGAGAGAATGCCACATGATGACAGAGGCCGAGTGGAGCTATGATGCTACAAGTCAACGGTTTCCAGCAACACCAGAACCTGGGAGAAAGGCATAGAACAGTCTCCCTCAGAACCTCCAGTAAGAACAAACACTGTCGGGGCACCTGGGTGGCTTAGTCGGTTAAGCGTCCGACTTTCACTTAGGTCATGATCTCGCGGTTCGTGGGTTCAAGCCCCACGTCAGGCTCTGTGCTGACTGCCATCTCTGAGCCTGGAGCCTATTTCGGAGTCTGTGTCTCCCTCTCTCTCTGACCCTCCCCTGCTCATGCTGTCTCTCTCTCTCTCTCCTAGAAAAAAAAAAAAAAAAAAAAAGAACAAACACTGTCAATACCTTCACACCTGACTTGTAGCCTCTAGAACTGTGAGAGACTAAATTTCTATTGTTTTCAACCACCAAATTTGTAGTAATTATGGCAGCCCCAAGAAACGAGTCTGAACCTCACAGGCAAAATGCTATGTTGTAATGCCATTGTTTCTGTGTGTTTATCAATCCGAGATAAAGTTAGTTTCGTGCATTTGTTTGTTTTCGATATTCTGGATTTTTAAAATTTTAATTCTTGGCTATAGTAGTTATTTATGTTTTCAAAGTCAAGCTATATAATGAAGTACATTCAGAGAAGTTTTATTTCCCTCCCATCTGTCCTATACTGTTCCTTACCTCTCCAACATATACAAAAAATCAAATAATATCCCGTAATGGTTGTTTATGGGAAATCCAATGCTGTTTTTCCTAATTCTCTGAGATTTTCAAATCAGGACAAAATAAAATTAAGAGAAATAAAATTACTTGTCCTACAAGGCCCAACTCATGTCACCTCCATTAAACCTTCCCATAAGTACTTTCTCTTTTCTGAACTTATACATTCTGTGTCTATATTGCTCACATAGCCCTTTTCAACAATCAGTTAAAAAATTAATGCACCAAACCTAAAGAAAATTAATGCACTGAGACCTGAAGGGTACCCTGTTAGATGTTGTGAGTACACAATACCATCAGTTAAGTTTTCACAGATAGTCATTTCCTTTATTAAGCTGTATATTGAAGTGACAGCTTTCTTACAGCCTACATGGAGGCCAGCACTCCTGATGAAGAAACCAATTCCTTTGCACAAAATGTTGAAGAGAAAATAAAAGCTGAAACAGATTGATACAAATCCCTTTAATAAAGTGTATCAACGACAACTTCGACAACTTTGTGTTTAAATAAAACATATTGTTAAAAAATCATGCAAGTGTATTTTGTTATACCGACTAAGAAAGATTTGAGACTGCCATTCCCTCTGCAGAGACGCTGTGCACGGATGCAAAATGATCAAAGGCGGACATAATAATGAATCTCAAGTAGGTGGCGTGGCCATCCCGGGCCTGTGACGGAGAAATCAATATGAATGCTTTTAGCGACTCCAGTTAACTGTTGAATGGCAGCTAGCAGAGGAAAGGGTTTGATGCAAGAATGATATCCTAAACATATAATAATATATAAGGTGTAACACTCAGAAGAGAAGCCAGCTGCATATAACAGTATAGTTGCTCTGATGTATTAGCAGGCAAATACCAGCATTGATTTGATGAATAAAAGCAGGTGGAGCTAACAATTGCAACTTTACATTTCTGATTCATTTTTAAAAAATATTTTTATTTTTGAGAGAGAGACAGATCATGAGCAGGAGAGGGGCAGAGAGAGACAGAGACACAGAATCCAAAGGAGCTCCAGGCTCTGAGCTGTCAGCACAGAGCCCAACACGGGGCTTGAACTTATGAACCGTGAGATCATGATCTGAGCTGAAGTCTGACGCTTAACCGACTGAGTCACCCAGGCGCCCTATCTGATTTATTTTTTTAAGTGTCTTTCTATGGGGCGCCTGGGTGGCTCAGTCAGTTGAACCTCCAACTTCAGCTCAGGCCATGATCTCATGGTTCAAGAGTTCAAGCCCTCCTTCGGGCTTGATGCTGTCCCATATCTGGCAGGCTTGATGCTGTCCCATATCTGGCAGGCTTGATGCTGTAGGCACAGCCACTTCAGATCCTTCATATCCTCCCCCTCTTCCCTCCCCTGCTTGCACTCTCTCTCTCAAAAATAAACATTTTTTTCAAAAGTGTCTTTCTGAAGTATTTTGCATCTTAGGCGATCTCCCTCGTTTTATGATTCCTCTGACTATATACCCTGCAACATTATTATACTTTCACATTTATATAATTTCTCTGGAAAGCAAATTGACAATATACATAAGTAACTATAAACATGTCTACACTGATGGACACAATTAAATTTCTCTTCCTTGAAATTTAATCTTAAAGAATAATTTACAAGGTGATGATCATGGTAGCAAGAACATGCAGAACGTGACCCCTGTATATTACTTGCAATGACAGAGGGAGGAAAATTGAAATTAGTACACATTTGCCTATTTTCATACATTAATTATGAAAGCTGTAATATAATATTGTTTAAAAAGATACAAACTTCATTTGATAACTATGCGATGCATACTGACAACAAGAAGAAAAAAAGTGTAGTAAAAGCTGTTGTGGCAGGCTAATAAAATCATGGGTGATTTCCAGCTTCCCGTTCCCCCTTACTATTTCCCAAATGTTCCATATAATTATGCAATGCTCCTTGATTCACAGTGAGTCCTGAAACAAAATACTTAGCAGAAGCTTACTAATCATAACCCATTAGTAAACATAGACAAAAACGGGTGATAAAATTCAGTCTAATTAATCATTTTTCTGGCCCCCACTGGCCTCCCGGGTCGTTGGACACATGTGGGTGGTAGAGAAGATAATTAATAGGATTCAAAAACTTCCTACAGAATCCTTTGAAATGCTGTGCCCAGTATGTCATGAAGAAGGAAACTTAAAAGACTTTAAGCCTCATTTAGAGAAACCTTAATTAAACAAAACTACCATCTTAAAAAAAACAAAACAAAAACCACACATTTAGTTGTTTCACTTTTTTTGTGTTTGTCTGAAACCGGGGCCTGATAAACTAGCAGGAACAGAGAAACCCCTGATGAGGCAGCAGCTTCATCAACGGGCATTCATTCCACTTGACAGGCAGAGCCCAGTGGAATGTTGTCGAAAAATGCTGGTTCTCTTTCCACCTCATCTCTCTTTGGCCTATTTGTTGCTGATCCTATGCTCCAGTTCCCCTTATGTGAATCTCCCTTGTCCTTTCATGCTTAAATTAACACCCGATTTTGGCATCTCAACCTTTTCTGATTCCTATTCTAAAAGGCCTAGGGAATCAAACGAAAGAAAGCAAAGCAAGTAAATACGTCAAATCAATGAACACAATAAAGATAAATAAGTGAACTGCTTTATCCTTGCTGTCATTCTACTAGAAAAGAGCCTAGTTTATGAATGCTATATTTAGATTATAGTATTACTGAGAATAACTTCTCTGTTGGTTGACTGGATGTAGAACCAATAACAGATCATGAAGGTATTTATTAACTTTATGACTAAAGAGATAGATTTAAATTTTAAATACATTGTGCTGGCTAAAGATAATGTTTATCTCTACAACTATATTTACTTACCATAACTTCTTCATTTTGAAGCTGCCCCTCTGTGTGGACTAGATCTAAAACAAATTTAACAGAAATGAGTTAGGGATCAAAATACATGAAAATACATCAAAATACAAAACCTACTGAAGTTTATGCTCAGCAAAACATGATGTCTGGTAAACTATAGTTAGATCAGACTTATCAGGGTTTGGGGGTTAAAATTCAATTTCAAAATAGGAATATGTGATACAAAAGGCATGAACGATAGACTGTGAGCTCTAGAACATCTATAGTAAGTATAAACAAAAGGAAATGTAAATTACAGTAAAGGAATATAAAGTAAGGAATGGATAAAATGTGGAAATCCCTTTTAAAGATCAAACTACTAACAGTTATTACAGGCCTAAAAGGAGCCATTTTTTTTTAAGTTTATTTATTTTGAGAGACAGAGACAGAGTGGAGAGAGAGTGGGGAAGGAGCAGAGAGAGAATCTCAAGCCTCAAGCAGACTCCATGCTGTTAGTGTGGAGCTGATGCAGGGCTTGAACTCATGAACCACTAAATCATGACCCGAGCTGAAATCAAAAGTTGGACGGTTAACCAACTGAGCCACCACCCAGGTACCCCTTGAAAGGAGCCATCTTATTGCCACTCTCACAGGTAATGACTACAGCTCGATTTCTCACACTAAATTTTTACTGGGATGTTGAATTATGCTGCCCATCAATTGGTCTTTTCAGGTATCTAACTTAAAAAACCTTTACTTATGCAATTTCAAAACATTAACTTAGTTGGTCACAAGTTAATCATATCAAACATTTTTTGGAAATATTTGAAATTTTTTTAATGTTTATTTATCTTTGAGAGACAGAGACAGGGTGTGAGTTGGGGAGGGGCAGAGAGAGAGGGAGACACAGAATCCAAAGCTGGCTCCATGCTCTGAGGTGTCAGCACAGAGCCTGACGCCAGGCTCAAACTCATGAACAGTGAGATCATGACCTGAGCCGAAGTTGGATGCTTAGCCGACTGAGCCACCCAGGCACCCTGGAAACATGAAGTATTTGATTGATATAATGATAAATATTGACATTATTGAGAAATTAATTTTATCTGTATCAGAATAGTTAGTATACACAATTTTCCAAGGCACATGCTACAAACAGAGTAGTCTCTGGGAAGTAAGATGGTGCATGACTGTCTCCTAACCTCTCTCTGAGGTAATGAACAGTAATCCCCTGCTTGACCCTTTCTTTCTCCTCCAGTCCTGCTCCTGAGAGGTCATGTTTTCAACTCCTTAAGCTTTTTTTTTTCCTGGAATTGTAACATGTTTATATTCCTCTTCTCAATTTATAAATGTTTACTGACTTTATATTACGGTAGGAGAAAGTTTAGGTCTCTTACACCAATATTCTCTTCTTCTTCCTCCTGTAACTTTTCCCTCCTGCCATCCTCTCAATTTTGAAGTCAATACTTGATGGTTCCATTATTGCCTATATAAATGTTATTTACTGCTGAAATGAGTAATGGACCACAATCCTATTTTCTTTCTTATACAATTCCTCCTCCACCAGGAGTTAATAATAAGCTCTTCTTTGATTTGTTTACTTTTATAATGATGAAAAGTTGGAAAATCTCACATACATAAAAGAAGACAGGATATAATTCCTGTATACACGTATCATTTTGATTTTATAATTACTAACATTTCAGTGTACTTGATTTATGGAATTTTTTTGCTCAAGTATTTTAAAGCACATTCTAAGACAACATGACATTTCACCTCCAAATATTTGGTTATCTATCTCTAAATAATAAGAGTATTTTCTTATGTAACCATAATACTATTATCATACTAACATTAAAAAAAGCTTTAGGGGCACCTGGGTGGCTTAGCTGGTTAAGCGTCTGACTTCAGCTCAGGTCAGGATCTTCCAATTTGTAGGCTTGAGCCCCACGTCAGTCTCTGTGCTGACAGCTGGAGGCTGGAGCCTGCTTCAGTTTCTGTATCTCCCTCTCTCTCTGCCTCTCCCCTGCTTGTGCTCTCTCTTTCTCAAAAATAAACACTAAAAAAAGTTTTTTAAATGCTTTAATAGCATATAATAGCCAATCAACATTCAAATCTCCCAACTATTCTCAAAATGTCATTTTATAGTTGCTTTATTCAAATCAGAATTTGATTTAAAATCTTTTAATCTCTGATAACCCCCCCATTTTTTCCATGTCAGACTTACTGATGAGACCAGAATGTAGAATGACACACATATTGTCATCTTGTCTCTTCGTGGTTTCATTAAATTTGTTCCTCTATCCTCTGTTTCCTATTTACTAGAATTAGAACTAAAGGCTTCATTATATTAGGGGTTTGAGGCCTTCATCAAATGTCTTTGTCATCTTTGGCTGTCTTTTGTTATCTTTTTTTTTTTTTTACTTTTTTTTTAAATGTTTATATTTGAGAGAGAGAGAGACAGAATATGAGTGGGGGAGGAGCAGAGAGAAAGGGAGACACAGAATCTGAAGCAGGCTCCAGGCTCTGAGCTGTCAGCACAAAGCCAGACGCAGGGCTCAAACCCACGAACCGTAAGATCGTGACCTGAGCCAAAGTCGGACGGCAAACCGTCTAAGACACCCAGGCGCCTCTGTCTTTGGTTACTTATAATAAACCACTTGAAAATTGTGTGCATCAACCAGGCTCACTGACTAGTGGATTTCAATAAGTGACCAGGAACGAACTAGCCTTTGTCAGCATCCATAGGTCTTTTTTCTGCAGCCATTCAGTTTCTACAAAAATGAATCATTCAATCTCCTGGCCAGGGCTATATTCTTGGTGGCCGTCATAAATAGTAGAGCACAGAGGAGTTCCCACCATTCAATACACAGGCTTCCACTTGAATCCTGGTTTCAACTCCATGCCTCACTTTTTCTACTATGCCTGGTCTCGCTGAGTTCTAAGCCTCAACATTCAGTGATTCTAGTCATGCCTGGCAGGTGGTCTGTAGTCCAGCATTGTGGGATAGGAGAACTTACCTAGGGTCCAAACACCCTATATATAGATATTCAACTACTCACCCTTTTTTTCTGGCCCCTGTCTCACTTGCACTTTCCATGGTACCTCTTACATTCAAATTCTAGATCTTTCTAGGGTTCTGTTTGAGCAAACTGGCTTGCTTCACATTGATATTCTCCTTGATGGGCACTTGGGTTATAACCTACTCCATTCAGCTACATAAGTTACTTCTCTTCCATTTGTATCCTCTCTTCCATAATATCCATCTCTCACATCTACTTTGGTCTCCTGTGTTTTTTGTTTACTTTTATTTTTTCTCTTGTAGGTTTATGCCTCATTTTCTTTTTTTCTTATTTTTTATTTATTTTTGAGAGAGAGAATGTGCTTGCATCGGCGAGGGAGGGGCAGAGAGGTGGGCAAAGGATCTAAAGTGGGCTCCACGCTGACAGCCAAGAGCCCCATGAAATCATGACCTAAGCCAAAGTCAGATGCTCAACTGAGTAAGCCACCCAGGTGCCCTGATTCCTTTTATTTCTTTACTATTATTTTCATGATATTTTCATGGAAGGAAAAGAAATAGACACATGAAAGCAGTATGTTTTGTTTAACTAGAGGCAATTCTGCTGATGATATTTAAATAGTACCACTAATTAGGAAAGAAGGAAAGACCAGAAACTAATATTTACTGTCTACCATATGCCAGATATTAAATTCACAAAAACCTTAATTGGTAGGTTACCGTCTCCATTTTTCAGATCAGGATTCTGAAACCCGAAAAAATTAAGTATTAACATGCTAACAGTTACATAACCAGTAAGTGAAAAGGCAGTCTTGTATTCAAACATGGGTTTTTCTAGGCTCTCAATAAGTCACAAGAGTCATCTTTTTCCACGAAAATGCACTCGAACTGGAAATATAGAGCCAAAGCACAATACTTCTTCATGATCAGAACACTGCCGGTAAAACAAGCACATACCTCTTTCAATCCATAGCTCAAAATCCACTGGCTCTTTAGATGTGCTCTTTTCAATCCTCAACGTCCTCACTGACATTGTAAGTAAACAAAATGAATAAAGTGTTAATTACCTACCTGATTTTATGTTGCTGTCCCCATATTCCTTTTTTCCTGTCACAAAATGTCAACCACTGGTGGGACTGCACAAAATACTGGGATCAGAAACACCATTGAAAATCATTCACATACTCTGTTTTTCTGTAGGGCTCAAAGGTAAAATGCGGTCTTGTGTCACTGTCAACTTATAAATGTTTGCGAGCACATAACACAAAGTTAGTAGAGTCTTTGAATTTGGTATCATCCAGGGTTTTTTGAATACTGGTAATAATAATATATTATTATTTTTTAATTAATTATTTTGTGCCTTCTGATAGTATCAATTATTAATAATGATGATATTATTATTATTATTATTAGTGGTCTTGGTCGTAAACCTTTATGGAGAAACTACTGTGAATCAGACATATTTACTCATTCACTCTTGACCATAATCTTATGAGAAAAAAATATTCCCAATCCACTTTACTGATGAGGAAAACAGCCTTAGAGAAATCAGGCACCCTAGAGAAGTAAGGCAAAGTGTTCAATGATACACAGCCAGTAGGGACCAGAAGTGGTATTCAAACTTTAGGTGTGTCTGACTCCAGAGCCTCTACAATTAATGACAGAAGAGACTTTTAACCAGAAGGTAGGCATCTTTCTTCTGCGTTGATTTTTCTCCATTACTGCTAACCCAGATCCTGCTACCCAGAACCACTCTTCTCTTCTCTGTGCCCTAGGGGGAGGACCCCTGTGGAATGCACCAGTGACTACTGGTCAGGTTTGGCTAATGGGAGGCACTGGGAGAAATCTGGAGGGCAGTGGTGAAATGAGATCAAGCTGTTTTTTCACTTCCTTCCAGCTTCCATGCCATGTCTTTCACAGTGGTTGGGTCCCTTCATGACTACAGCTGCTGCTGGGCCACAGGCTCCAGCTCCCACTGGGCTCTGGTAATGCTGCTTCTGTCCCTTAGCCCAGGGGTGGTAATGATTTACTGCTGTGGCCGGTTTTGGGGCGTTCTCACCATCCCTGGTTTGTTCCCTTATCCAGAACCATAATTTTGTAAGTAATCCCATCAATACAGTCTTTTCATTTGAACCATCTGGGATATACTGTTTCCTGCCATGACTTTGTCTGAAATACTTTATCCTTAAATAAACATAAGGCAGGATTAGAATGATGTTCCAATGGGAGAGTCTCCTCCTAAACCTCAGAAAATACCATTATTAATAGAAGAGTCAAAACTATCCAATGCAAATAATCAGGGTTATCAGATTTTCACAAAGAATTTGACAGAGAACCCTAAGCCAAATGAATCTGGAATAAAGATGTTGAAGAACTTAGTGTTCTGGCAAGCTGGCTTCTTATATTCATAATAGGTCCTTTGCCAAAGATTTTCGCATAGTAAATTGCATGGAAATTATTATGTGCTCTGGAAGGGTTTCAAATTCGCAATTTTAGAGAAGCTATCTGTGCTCAAGGCAGTTAACCCATATTCCTCACTCTCCCACCCCAGTCATAAAACTGCAAAAAAGTTAGTGTTCTGCCAAAAAGTTTACTTGGTTTGCCAAAAGTTTGCATATGTGCCCCCTGTCTGTGGGAAAATTAAAAGAGGATGAATAATCACATATGATATGCTTACCAAAGTAACTTTGGATTACAAGTCTTTCAATCCTTACATGTTTGTGAAAACAAATAATGAACTCTTGGGGAAACATTCCTGTTGTGGTCCAAAATGTTTCTGGATTCCTGTTGTTAATTTTAAAGAAAAAGAGAAAGAAAGAGCCAGATAAAAATATTTAATCACAAAATTCTAGTGAATAAGTATTTTAAAAAATAATTGACCCTGGATTCTTCTTATCCCTTTCTATCTCTTCCTTCTGCCTCTAATCTCTCCCCAACTTTAATAATTCGTCTTTACTCTTAGCAGATCTATTTTTTAAAAACCCAGAAACAGAACTGATATCACTCTGTGGTCTAAAAGCTTTCAGTGGTCACTTCTTGCCCATAAATATGGCTGTGTAGTATGGCATTTTACGGCCCTGTACAATCTGGTCCATTATTAAAGTACACCATCTCCCATCACATATCCTCTCCCATTACCATAGTCACATTGGGCCAATTAAGATTCTGCAAACACGTCATACAGGCTCATGTTTCTGTGCCTTACTTAGTTCACGAGGTTCTCTTGACCTGAAAGCCTTTTTTCCCCTTACAAAAAAAGTTCATTCACTTTTTGGTTCCATTTCTCAACCCCAATAAATCAGAATCACTTCCTCAGGCCTCCTTTAAACTCAGCATCCATTTTTGCATTGGTACTTATTTCTTGTGTTTCTATGCCTCCTGCTATATGCTGAGTTCTCTGAGTCCAACCACTTTCTCTTACTTATCTTTGTATCCCAGTAACTATCACAATGGCTGACCCATAGTAGACACAGAATAGATGTGTGTTGAGAAAAAAATGCACTCAATTTTATGTTATATATATATAATTAAAGTAAGCTAGAGTAAAGAACATGTTAAGAAAAATCTGCAGGTTCAACTGACGAGTGGATCAAGAAGATGTGGTTTATCTATGCAATGGAATACTACATGGCAATGAGAAAGAATGAAATCTGGCCATGTGTAGCAACATGGATGGAACCTGAGGGTATTATGCTGAGTGAAATGAGTTAGGCAGAGAAGGAAGATACCATATACTTTCACTCATATGTGGAACAGGAGAAACTTAACAGAGGACATAGGGGAGGAGAAGGGAGAAAAATAGTTAAGGAGAGGGAGGGAGGCAAACCACAAGAGACTCTTAAATACTGAGAACAAACTGAGGGTTGATGGCAGGTGAGGGAGAGGGGAAAATGGGTGATGTGCATGGAGGAGGGTACTTGTTAGGATGAGCACTGGGTGTTATATGGAAGCCAACTTGACAATAAAATATATTTTTAAAAATCTACAGGAAGAGAAAATACATTTACACCACTGTATATATACTTTTTGGGAAAAATCCCATGCAGCTCAAACCTATGTTGTTCAAAGGTCAACTGTGCTTTACTATAAATTTTTGTAGGCCTCCTTTGTGAGATGATATGTATTGTGTATATTTTCTCCCAGTCTGTACTTTGCCTTTGCCTTTTCTTCCTTGTGTCCTTCAATGAGTAGAAGTCCAGTTTTACTACTTTTTTATTCTATGGTTAAGTGATTTTTATGTCCTAAGAAATCTTGCCTATCCCATTGTCATGAAGGTACATTCTGAAGTTTTCTTCTCAAAGCTTAGTAATTTTAACTCAGTGGAGATCTATGATCCATCTTGAATTAACTTTTGTGTTTGGTATGAGGTATGGGTAGATGTTCATTTTTATCTGTATGTTTATTCAGCTGTTCCAGCACTATGTATTAAAAGACTTTCCTTTTCTGGGGCGCCTGGGTGGCTTAGTCGGTTAAGCGTCCGGCTTTCGCTTAGGTCATGATCTCGCGGTTCGTGGGTTCGAGCCCCGCGTCGGGCTCTGTGCTGACTGTCAGCTCAGAGCCTGAAGCCTATTTCAGAGTCTGTATTTCCCTCTCTCTCTGACCCTCCCCTGCTCACGCTGTCTCTCTCCTAGAAATAAAAAATAAAAAAAATAAAAAAATAAAAATGAAAAAAAAAAGACTTTCCTTTTCTTATTGAATTGCCTTGACATCTTTGCCTAAAATGTCTATATATGGGTAGATCTATTTCTGCCTCTTCCATTTTATTGTTTTCTTCTGTTTCTGCATCCTTAGTCTTCTGTTGAAAATTAGTTGATCTTGGGGCACCTGGGTGGCTCAGTACGTTGTGTCCAACTTTGGCTCAAGTCATGATCTCACGGTCTGTGAGTTCAAGCCCCATGTCGGCTCAGAGCCTGGAGCCTGTGTGAGATTCTGTGTCTCCCTCACTCTCTGCCCCTCCCCTGCTCGTACTCTCTCTCCTTCTCTCTTTCAAAAATAAATAAACATTTTAAAAAATCTTAAAAAAAAAAAGAAAATTAATTGCCCTTGTATAAGTGACTCTATTTCTGGGCTTTCTATTCTGTTCCACTGATATACATACCTATTTTTATAAAAATATCATGCTGTTTTGATTTTTGTAAGTTATTTTTAAGTCTTGAAATCAAATCACATAAGTGCTAAAACTTTCTTCTTTTTCAAGATTGTTTTGACTAGACTAGGCCCTTGCATTTCCATATACCATTTAAAATCAATTTTTTAATGTAAAAAGTCAGTTGAGATTTTAATTGACAGTGTGCTGAATTGATAGGTTATTTTAGGTTATTTTAGGGAGAAATTGCATGCATCCTAACAATATGAGGTTTTCTAATTATTAATGTAGTGAATTTCAACTACTTAATTTTTCTCAGCAACATTTTATAGTTTTCAGTGTAAATGTCTTGCCTATCTTATTAAATTTATTCTTAACTCTTTTACATTTTAACTGCTATCATAAATGGAATTTTTTAAAATTTCAATTTCCAACTGTTTCCTGTCATTATATAGTAATACAACTGATTTTTATATATTGACCTTGCTAAATTTACTTATTAGCTCTAGTAGCCTTTCTTTGCAGATTCCTTATTTTTTGTAGATTCAGATGAAACAATGCAATTTGTGAACAAAGACAATTTTATTCCTTCTTTCTAATATTTATGCTTTTTATGTCTTTTTTTTTTCCGTATTGTATGGTTTAAAATCTCCAGGGCAATGCTGAATAGAAATGGTGAGAGCAAACATTCTTGGTCCGTTTCTAATCTCAGGGAGAAAGCATTTATTATTTCAGCACTAAGCTGAACGTGTTTACTAGATGGCTTTATCAGATTGAGAAAGTTCCCTTCTTTTCTTTGTTTGCTAAGAACTGTTATCATGAATGAATGCTGGATTTTGTCAAATGCCTTTTCTTCATCTACTGGGATGATCATATGATTTTTCTTCCTTGTGCTGGCAATGTGCTGAATCACACCCAACCTTGTATTCCTATGATAAAGTGGTAAATATGCCAACCTTGAATTCCCAGGATTAATTCCATTTGCTGGATTCAATTTATAAGGATTTATGTGTCTATGTTCATAAAGGATATTGGTCTTTACTTTTCATTTCTTGTTTCCTTTCCTTCCTTTCCTTGTAATGTCTTTATCAGATTTTAGTTTCAGGGTTACACTGTTCTCATAAAAAACAATTTGAGAAATGTTTCCTCCTCTATTTTTGAAAGATTTATATTTTTTTCCACAAAATATCTGATAGAATTTATACAATAGATACATGGCTATTCAAATATTCTTTCATCTTTTGTCATTTTTATAGGTTGAGTTTTTCAAGGAATCTGTCCATTTAAGTTGTCAAATATATTAGTCTAAATTTGTCTTTTTAATTAAAAATATTTTTTAATTAAAGAGAGAGACAGAGCACAAGCAAGGGAGGGGCAGAGAGAGATGGAGAGAGAGACTCCAAAGGAGGCTCCAGGCTCTTAGCTGTCAGCATAGAGCCTGATGCAGAGCCCATGAACTGTGAATCATGACCTGAGTGGAAGCTGGATGCCTAACCAACTGAACCACCCAGGTGCCCCTAATTAAAAATATTTTAAAATTGAAGTATAACTGACATCTAACATATTAATTTCACATATACAACATAATGATTTGGTATCTTCAATTTGTCCTTGATAGTGACTTATTAATATTTTAGAAGCTGTAGTGATACTGCTTTTTAAAAAAAGTTTTTTAATGTTTATTTATTTTTGAGAGAGAGAGAGAACGAGCATGGGAGGGGCAGAGAAAGAGGGAAACACAGATTCCGAAGCAGGCTCCAGGCTCTGAGCTGTCAGCACAGAGCCCAACATGGGGCTTGAACCCACAAACTGTTAAGATCATGACCTGAGCCCAAGTTGGATGCTTAAGCGACTGAGCCACCCAGGCGCCCCAATATTGCTTCTTTCATTGCTGGTACTAGCAATTAACAGTTTCTCCATTCTTTCTTGGTCAGTCTTGCTAATGGTTTATAACTTTTATTAATCCTTTCAGATAATCAATTTTGGTTTTGTTAATTTTTTCTAATTGTCTATTTTCTATTTCATTGATTTCTATTCTTTATAATTTATTTTCTTCTACTTTCTTTGGGTATAATTTGCTCTTCTTTATCTAGCTTCCTAAGGTGGAAATACATTTGCTGGTTCTTAAAAATTCTTCTTTATAATATAAAATATTTAGGCTATAAATTTCCCTGGAAACATCACTTTACCTACATCCACAAATGTAAATATATTGTGTTTTCATCATCATTCAGTTACAAATATTTTCTAATATCCCTTGTGATTTCTTCTTTGACCCATGGGTTATTTAGAAGTGGCATGTTTAATATCTAAGTTTCAGGGATATTTTTCCAGATGTCATTTTAACATTTACTTGTAATTTAATTACATAGTGGTCAGAGAATGAATTCTTTTTTCTCCAGCTTTAATGCAGTATATTCAACATAACAACATTATACAAGTTTAAGGTATACAACATGACCATTTGATACATGTATATGTTGTGAAATCATGACCACAATAAAGTTAGTTAACATAATCATCATCTCACATTTACCATATTTTTGAGAATATATTCCTTACAATCTCAACCTTTTGACATTTATTGAGACTTCATGGTCCAGTACATTTTAGTGAATGTTTAACATATATCTGTTTCATGTGCCATAGCTGATTATAGTGTTGTATAAACGTCAGTTCATTCAATGTGACTGACAGTATTGTGCAGAGCATTCTATCTTCACTATGTCTTTACTATCTGTATCTTTAGATTTTTCATCTGGCTGCTTTACCATTACTAAAAGGTGTTAAAATCTCCAAGTATGATTATGGATTTGTCTACTTCTCTCTTTCATCTGTCAGTTTCTGCTTTATAAATTTAGAAGATCTATTATTAGGTGTGTATACATTTAGGATTATTATCTCTTCCTGATGAAAAGATGCTCACACCTTATAAAATGTCCCTTTTACCTCTGGTAATTCTCCTTTTTCACATTCTACTTTGATATGAATATAGCCAGTTACTTTCTTATGTTTATTTTTTATAGAATACATCTTTTTCATCCTTTTATGTTCAACCTATTTGTGACTTTATATTCAAAGTACATTTCTTGCACACAGTACCTACATGGGTCATGTACTTTTATCCAGTCTGATAATTTTAATTTTTTTAAATGTTTATTTATTTTTGAGAGAGGGACAGAGACAGAGCACAAGGAAGGGAGGGGCAGAGAGAGAGACAAAGATGGGAGACACAGAATCCAAAGCAGAATCCAGGGTCTGAGCTGTCAGCACAGAGCCTGATGCAGGGCTTGAACCCATGAACCATGAGATCATGGCCTGAGCTGAAGTCAGACACTCAATCAAATGAGCCACCCAGGTACCCTTCCAGTTTGACAATTTCTGTCATTTAATTAAAGTGGCTAGCCCATTGGCATTTAATATAATTATTAATATGATTGGGTTTAAATCTACCATCTTGCTATTCATTTTCTATTTGTCCCTCCCATCTACTTTTTTCTTGTTCTATTTCTCCTTTCCTATCTACTTTTGGCTGACTAAAAATCCTCTAAAATTCCATTCAATTTCCTATTGGTTTTATACCTCTTTTTTTGTTGTGTGGCTATTCTCAGGGTCATAATAGCCTTATGATAGTTAATTTACATTAAATTCCACTTGTGCGTCATTATTTTCAATTATTTTACATTCACATATATAACATTTACTACTATACGTATATAATAAGTACCGCAGTACAATTTTTCCCATTGTGTGGTCAGTTGACTTCTTAAAAAATTAAAAGAAAAAGGATAGTTTTTATATCTACCCAAATATTTACCATTTCCAATGTACCGAATTTTTTCCTGTAGGTTTGAATTTCCATTTAGTATTATAACACTTCAACATGCAGAACTTCCTTTAGCATTTCCTGTGATGCAGAGCTACTTGTGATGAATAAAAACGTCTCTATTTCACCCTGGTTTTTGAAGGATATATTAGCTAGATACAGAATTCTGATCTGATAGGGTTTTTTTGTTGTTGCTTCTTTTTTCAGCATTTAAGATATTGTTCCACTGTCACCTGCATTCCACTGTTTGTGATGCAAAGTCAGCCCTCACTGGTACTATTGTTCCCTTGTAGTTAACATATTTTTTCCTGCAGTTACTTAAAAAATATTTTTCTTATTTTTCAGCAGACTGCAGTATGGTCTCTTTGTAATTACCTTGTTTGGGGTTTGCTGAGTTTCTTGGATTTGTAAGTTGGCATTTTTTAATAAGATTGGAGAAAATTCAGCCTAAAAGTAGAAACAACTTGAATATCCACCAGCTGATGAATGGATAAATAAAATGTGCTATAAACATAACAGTGGAATATTTTTTGGCAATAAAAATGAATGAAACACTGATACCTGCTGTAACATGGGTGAAATGTAAAAACATGTAAATGAGGGGTGCCTGGGTGGCTCAGTCAGTTAAGCATCTGACTTCAGCTCAGGTCATGATCTCACGGTTCGTAAGTTCAAGCCCCACACTGGGCTCTGTGCTGACAGCTCAGAGCCTGGAGCCTGCTTTGGAATCTGTGACTCCCCGTCTCTCTCTGTCCCTCCCCCACTCATTCTCTGTCTCCCAAAACATAAACATTAAAAAAATATTTTAAGGAAAAAAAATAAAACATGCAGTGAACTTCCTTTCTCCTTTTTTATGGACATATTAAATATCAGAGGGCAAAAGTAGAGTCAAAGGCAAGTAGAAATATTATCAATTTCTTTAACACTCAGTCTTGCGGAAATTGAGAGTTGGGAGAAATACCTAATGGGGGCAAATTTACAGCACTGTTTTCTCCAAATAATTCTATGGTTACTACCATTTAGACAAACCAACCCATGAGCAGAACAATTTTTAACATCTACTGTATAAAATCTAATAGGATTTATTGGAAATGCATACGCATTAAAAGTCTCTGATGTGTTCTGCTCAATTATCAGGTCCAGTAACTACTTTCATTCCATATAGTTTTCTATACTAAGGGTTTTGTCTAATCTAAATATTATGTCCTTAATCATTCATTAATATGGACTGATATTTGGAAAGAGCTCTATTTCTGAAAACAACTTAAGGGAAATCTTCTTATGTCTGTGTATCCTCACAGCAGTCATTAAGGCAGAGTGGGATAAATAACTATTACCTGAATTTTAGGAAGTAAAAGATGAAGGATTAAGAGGCACTGGCAAAAAACAGATACTAAGTTTTGGATTCAAACCTAAAGTTTGAGTTATGATAGTATAGTACAAAGAACCTCAAACTAGCAGTTAGAGGACATGAGTGTTAATTTTGATTCCACCACTTGGTTATCGGTGTAATTTTGAACAAGTCATCTTTACCTCTGATTATCCTTTTCCTCATCTTTACAATGGATTGAAAATACGTTTGTAAAATATCTTGCCTCTTATTTCCCAAGCTTATGGTGAGGGTCAAATGATATCACATCCATGAAACTATAAAGCCTTATGCAAGTATAAAGTAATAGATGCGTGTGTGTGTGTACTCAGCTACTTTCCAATATAATTTGAGTTTGATATTTGATAGTCTAATTCAACAAGCTACTCAACAACTATTTTAAGATGCTGTGGAGCCGAAGTTGAGTAAGTCATAGTCTCTAACTTGTAGGAATTCATAGTTAATAATGAGAGGACACACATTAAAAATGAATGATTATATATAAAAGAATAATATAGAGTAATAGAAGTATATACCAAATTCTTTTAGAGTCCAACAAAAAGGTAAACTATTCCTACATGAGGGCAAAGAGAAAGATATCAGAGAGGAGATAATAACTAGGCTTAAAGGAAAAGACTGAGTTGCTAGAATTTTATCCAGATACATGGGGTTCACAATAGAACACACAAAAAACCCCACAAGACTTGTTTTATAACTGGCTCTGCCTTCAATAATTAAAACTAGTACTTGACCTCTTCAGATGTCTCTTACCACAACTCTAAAAAATGAAAAGTTTAGATAAGATAAATTCCTAAGTCCTTCCAGCTCTAAAATAATATGATTCTATGAGTCAAACTCTGGTCATTGTACAGATATGAAGAAAGAGAACTCAAGAGAGTAATAAAATGGTCACAACTATTAAAAAAAGGAGTTTTCCCACTAACTACTTTTTCTTAGAATTCAAAAGCCTGAGAATTATATTTATCTCTACCTAGAATAAGCTCTAACACAGTGAAGAGAGGAAATTGGAATGATATCAAGAGGCTGATAACTGTATAATGCATGTGGATAGCAGGAAGTTAAGCATTCAGTTTGGCAAAGACATTGCTTAGACCACTAAGGAAAGAGGCAATATGAGAAATTACAATGTTTTTATTCCTATTTACTAAAAAACTTGGAATAAAATGTACTCTTCCATAATTTGAGGTAGTTGTTTGTTTGAAGTTTTGCCTTGTTAAGCCGCTTCATAAAAAACTATTTCTATAAAAGATTGGTTTAAGAATTATAAAGAAAGGCTTGGAAACCTAAATAAACACAACTGAATTGGTTTCAGGAATGGTATCAAAGGTAAATATTGTCAAGTAATATACTTCACCAAACATTTATTAAACTGTGTTTAAAAGTTCTCATTGTTGTAAAGCACAGTCCCAGCACTGATTTACTATCAAGACTTTAAAGAAAAAAAATAGTAACTCTTACCCATCAATCATATTTTCAGGAGGGTGTTTTTCATCACTTGATGTAGCTAAAATCACTTCCGCCCCCTCAGAGCTCAAACACAGGTCAATTTTTCTCATCTTAAAGTATTTAATCTGCAAATAAAACAATAATAACAAAAGTAAATTCCTGATTCTCTGAACTTGATCTTAGAGAAGGAAGAGAGAGAAAGCCTGTTGCCTAGCACACAGCTTAACAACCAAGCTATTCAACAAGTGGGAGAGACTCTAATGTTTATTTACATAAGTAAACTTCTAACTTCTCCCAGGAGTAATCTGTAAATGGATTATTTCTACTACTCTAACTCCACAAACAAGACTCTGACTACTCTAACTAACATCATTTCTTTGAATCTAAAATTAAAAGTCCTCAATAATGAAATAGAAACAATTAACAAGCTAAAGTGGCATGAATTAATGGGTAAAATTTTAAAAAATTTATTCTCTAATTAGTTAACATGCATGAAGTCTTGGCTTCAATAGATTCAGTAGAATCCAGAGATTCATATTTACATATAACACCCAGTGTTCATCCCAACAAGTGCCCTCCTTAATGCCCGTCACCCATTTTCTCCATCCCCATCAACCCTCAGTTTGTTCTCTGTACTTAAGAGTTTCTTATGGTTTGCCTCTCTCTCTGTTTTTAATTTATTTTTCGTACCCTTCCTCTATGATCATCTGTTAGGTTTCTCAAATTCCACATGAGTAAAATCATGTGATATTTGTCTTTCTCCAACTGACTTATTTCGCTCAGTTCCATCCACATTGTTGCAAGTGGCAAGATTTCATTCTTTTTCATCAAATTAATGGGTAAATTTTTAAAAATTATTTATATTGTTATACTTCTGAAATTTATTTTTTTAAGTTTATTTATTTATTTTGAGAGAGAGAGACAGAGAGAGTGAGTGGGGAAGGGGCAGAGAGAGAGGGAGAGGGAGAATCTCAAGCAGGCTTGCACCATCAGTGCAGAGCCCGATGTGGGGCTCAAACCCGTGAACCATGAGATCATGACGAGCTGAAACCAAGACACTTCACCGACTGAGCCACCCACACGCCCCATATTTCTGAAATTTAAAAAAAAAATCTGGAACATATAAGCAGATGTTTTTGTGACTGTTTACCCATACGTTTACCAGTTGAAAAGAGGAAACTATATTATTCACATCTTAAAAGGTATCTTACCATCACTATTTTTTGGAACAGAATGTAAAATAAGAGAGAAGACAAGCTTTTGCTTATTTTTAAATTCTAAGTCAGTCACTTAGGTCATAGATTCCAAGATATTTCTATTGTATGGTAATATTTTAAGTTCAATGAAAGTATCCTGGAAAGGTATCATTGAGCTCTTCTATGGACTCTGGTGGATAAGACAGAAGAAGACAAGAAAAGATTCTATCAGATCTTACTCACCTTCCTCCTTGATCTGGTGGTGACAGGGCACAAACCAATGTGTAGATGCAAAGTGACTATGAAGCTGAATCTATAAAGAATTTAAAGACAAAGAGTGTTTGGAAAAAGGAGAAGAGCTTCCAATTCCCTTCGTATCCTGGCCTCAGACTAATTTTTTTTTTAAATGAAACTATTTCAAATAAGCAATCAACAAATTACAGAGAATATCACATATGTTAAATAACTATGTATCCACTGTCCAGATTTAATAAATGTTAACATTTTTGCCCTCTTCCTTCCTTGCCCAGAGGAAACAGCTATTCTGAAGTTGATAAATATGCCTCCTTACTATATTTTTATACTTTTACCATACATGTATCCTTAAATGATATGTATTGCTCTTTCAAAACTTAGATGCTTTCTCAGTATATATATATCCTTATGCTACTTGCTTTTTTCATTCAAGGTTTTAATCATGTCAATATACATAAATCTACTTTATTCACTTCAACTGCTGTCAAGTCTTTCTCCATGTCTCTAATGATATATATTTAGGTAAGTTTCCAATTTTTTGCTATTATAAACAAATTTGAAATGCATATCTTTGTTTATGTGTCCTTAGCACATGTGGGGGAAAGTCTTTATGATAAAAGAGTCTCTTCGCAGAAGTATAATGGCAGAAACTAAGAATCAGCATATCTTCAAGTCCATAATTGATCAACTTTATCTCTCAGTTTTAACAATTTACATTACCATCAGCAGTATGTGAGACTTTCTGCTACCTCATATTCTCACCAACTTGGTATTGTTAGGTATTTTGGCTTTAGCCAATCTCATCGGTGTGAAATAGTATCTCAATAAGGTTATAATTCATATTTCTATTATTAGTGAGGTTGAACACTGTTTCATGTGATCAAGAGCCATTCAGGCCTCCTTCTGTTATTTGCTTTTCCTTATCCTTTGTTCATTTTTCTATTGTGTTGCTTTTTAAAACTTTTTGTCCTTTGCTCTTTGACTTATGGGGATTTTTAAAATAAAATATTCTGGATACAAATCCTTTGTTATATTTGCTGTAAATATCATCTACTCTGTAGCTTGATTTTACTTTTTACTTTGTTTTTGTGTGTGTGTGTGTGTGTGCAAGAGTTTCCCTACCCCCACACAAAATGTTTTTAAATTACTGAACTATAACATATATACAGAAGAGAATGCGAATCAGATGTAGAGCAATAAATTTTCATAAAGTTAACACACCCAGGTAACCACCACCCAGGTGAAGAAACAGAATATTACCAGCACTTGAGAAGCCCTCTGCATGCCCCTTCCCAATCATTACCCTCCCCACCTTCCCAAGGTAAGTATGGTCCTTATTTCTTACATTAATTTTGCCTGAAATTTATACACATAGAATCATACAGTTTGTACTCATTTGTATCTGGCTTCTTTCATCATTACATTTTTGTAGAGACTTCGCCATATTATTGTGTCACAGAGTTGAAGTGCAACTAACTAAAGCTGCAATCCAGCCCCAACACAGCACAACCCCTAATAATATCAAAGAAATCATCCCTAAGTGGAGCTTCACAGGAAACTGGATATGAACTGAAAAGCAAAGAAAGATTTCTGTGACCTTGGGTACTTAGATCCCAAAGCCCTGATGGAGGGAACTGATCTCACTCCTAAGTACCTGAAATTAGAGGTAAATTGAAACTATTTATTTTTTTAAGTTTATTTATTTTGAGACAGAGACAGTGTGAGCAAGGGAAGAGCAGAGAGAGGGAGAGAGAGAGAATCCCAAGCAGGTTCTGCAGTGTCAGCACAGAGCCTGATGAGGGGCTTAAACTCATGAAATTGCGAGATCATGACCTGAGCCAAAACTGAAAGTCAGATGCTTACCCAACTGAGCCACCCAGGCGCCCCTATAAACTGGAACTATTTAAATAAAATTACAACTCAGTCCAATCCCAAGGTAGACTGAAATGATCTGCCCCTTATCCTGGCTGCTGGGCAAAGAAAATGGTCTTCTCTCTGGGAAAAGGCATTATCTACTTCAGGGTCTATTGTTCTTTTACACACACACTAAAGAGGTGCCTGGGTGGCTCAGTTGGTTAAGCATCCAACTTTGGCTCAGGTCATGATCTCATGGTGTGTAGGTTCGAGTCCCACGTTGGGCTCTGTGCTGACAGCTAGTTTGGAGCCTGGAGCCTATTTCAGATTCTGTATCTCCCTCTCTCTCTGACCCTTCCCTGATCATGCTGCCTCTCTCACTCAGAAATAAATAAAACATTAAAAAAAATTTAAACATACACTCAATAGGGGCGCCTGGATGGCTCAGTCAGTTAAGTGGCTGACATCAGCTCTGGTCATGATCTCACAGTTCATGAGTTTGAGCCCCGTGTTAGGCTCTGTGCTAACAGCTCAAAACCTGGAGCCCGCTTCAGATTCTGTGTCTCACTCTGTCTCTGCCCCTCCCCTGCTTGTGCTTATCTCTCTCACTCTCAAAAATAAATAATAAAACATTTAAAAAATAAATAAATAAATAAACACATCACCCAATATACAAAACCATTTCAGCCAATCTATAGATGACCCACCCAAGTTCTGGAATTACCAAAGATAGCTATTATAAATTTGTTAAATAATTTAGTGAAAAGATGGATAAAATGGGTACATAGAAAGGAACTTTAGCAGAGAAATGGAAACTCTAAAGAACAAAATGAAAATTCCAGAACTGAAAAGTACAGTGTCTCATATAAAGAATTCATTAGATGGACTTAGCAACAGATTGGATCCCCAACATAAGAATGGGTCAGTGAACTTAAAGATAGGTCAACAGAAATGATCCAAAATGAAATACAGAGAAAAAATGAAAGTAACAGAACAGAGCATCAGATAACTGTGAGACACTATCCAACTATTCTGAAATACATGTAACTGGAGTCCCAGGAGAGGAAAAATAAAATAGTATAGAAGAAAAATCTAAGAAGATATAGCTGAAAATTTTCCAAAACCTATAAAAGTCATAAATCCCAGAACCAAGAAGTTCTTGAATCCTAAGTTGGGTAAACACAACAAAGAAAACCCCACCTAGCTGCATCTTAGTTAATGGCTGAAAGTGAAAGAAAAGATAAAAAAGTAACAGTACCCAAAGCAAAAAAAACAAAAAACAAAAAACAACAACAACAAAAACCACATTTGGGAGAACAAGAATAAAAGTTGACTTTTCATCAGAAACAACAGAAACCAAAAGACAGGGGCGCCTGGGTGGCTTAGTCGGTTAAGCGTCCGACTTTCACTTAGGTCATGATCTCGCGGTTCGTGGGTTCAAGCCCTGCGTCTGGCTCTGTGCTGACTGCCAGCTCAGAGCCTGGAGCCTATTTTGGAGTCTGTGTCTCCCTCTCTCTCTGACCCTCCCCTGCTCACGCTGTCTCTCTCTCTCTCTCCTAGAAATAAATAAAAATATTAAAAAAAAAAAAAGAAACCAAAAGACAATGAAATGACATCTTTAAAGTCCTAACAGACAAAATATAAAATTCTATATCCAGCAAAAATATCCTTCAAAAGTGAAGGCAAAATAAAGACACTTTCAGGCAAACAAAAGCTGAAAGAATTTATCAGTAGACCTACGCTATAAAAAAACATTAAAGGAAGTGCTGCAGGCCGAAGGGAAAAGATTCCAGGTTGAATCCTGGATATGTGGGAAGGAAGAGCATGGAAAATAGTATATATATATTGCTAACTTAGAAGACTATTTAAAAACTTTCTTTAGAAGACTTGACAATTTTAAAAATAGCAATGAATGACAGGGATTTAATAGATATAGAAATAATAAATACAATAATAATATAAAAGGCAAAAGGAGAATAAATGAGACTATTCTTTGTAGAGTCCTTGTCAAGTTCTTATGTTGAACATTAAGTGATATACTATTAATTCGAAGTAGATTAGGACGTTAAGGATACATGTTGTAATCCCAGGATTAGAATAAATTCATCACTAAAAGCCACAAAACAAAAAGTTACAGGAAGAAGGCCAATAGAAAAGAAAAAAATGGGATTTTACAAAAATATCTGTTTAATCTGAAAGAAAGCCAAAAAGAAGAATCAGTAAATAGAAAATAAATGGCAAGAAGATAGTTTTAAACACAAATACATTGATGATTCCATTTTATTTATTTTATTTTATTTTTTTAATGGTTTATTTCTTTTTGAGACACAGAGAGACAGAAGACGAGCGGGGGAGGGACAGAAAGAGAGGGGGAGACACAGAATCTGAAACAGGCTCCAGGCACTGAGCTGCCAGCACAGAACCTGATGCGGGGCTTGAACCCATGAACTGTGAGATCATGACCTGAGCCAAAGTCGGACGCTTAACCAACTGAGCCACCCAGGTGCCCCTGATTATTCCATTTTAAATGTTAATAAACTAAACACTACATTATTGGACTGAATTTTTAAAAACCCAATAGATGGGGCACCTGGGTGGCTCAGTTGGTTGAGTGTCTGACTTTGGCTCAGGTCATGATCTTGGTTCATGAGTTTGAGCCCTGCACTGGGGCTGCACTGGGGCTGCTCTCAGTCAGCCCGCTTTGGATACTCTGTTCCCACCCCCTCTCAAAAACAAACAAGCAAACAAAAACAGTTAGATACTCTTTTCAGTAAATCCTTTAAATATAATAGGTACCCTTTTCAGAATACCTTCTAAATATAAGGTTAGACAGAAAGTAGGATAGAATAATAAGTCTTAATATCTTAAGTCTTCTACTTAACTTTCAAAACTGGCTTGGTTCTGTGCTTTGTACCTTTATTATCAGAAAGATTTTTAAACTACAGAAAAAATCTTTTGAGATGTTGACTGTAATTCCATTCCATTTATAGATTAATTTAGAGAGAATATCATGTTGGGGTTTTTAAAAAAATTTTTTTAATGTTTTATTTATTTCTAGGAGAGAGAGAAAGAGAGACAGCGTGAGCAGGGGAGGGTCAGAGAGAGAGAGAGTCACAGACCCTGAAACAGGCTCCAGGCTCTGAGCTGGCAGTCAGCACAGAGTCCAACGCAGGGCTCGAACCCACGAACTGCGAGATCATGACCTAAGCGAAAGTCGGACGCTTAACCGACTAAGCCACCCAGGCGCCCTGAGAGAATATCATGTTTATGAGTCTTCAAATCCATGGATCCAGCATATCTCTTCATTTAAGACTTCTTAGGTCCTGAAATTGTTCTCTACTTTTCCCTACACGTACCTTCACCTATTTTGTCAGGTTTATTTTCAGATGTGTTATTGTTTCTATTGCTATTGTAAACGGGATTTTTATAAAAGCAACATTGT